CTATCATTTTATTAGTTTCTGCTTCACTGATCCTTTGTGTTGTCTGTATGCCAGGATAGGCTCAGTTATGTTGCTTTTGTGAGGTTGTGTGAATCAGTACCTCAGAGGCTGAGTCAGTAGGATCACCATGAGTTCAAGGCCAGCCTAGGCTATGTAGTGAGTTCAAGACCATCCTAGACTATATGATGAGACCTTGTATTAAAAAAAAAATCTCCTGAATAAATTAATGGATATTGCCTTTGAACTGTGCTGGTTTCTACTAAGTGCTCAATAAATGTTAGCCAGTACAGTAGTGTTATTATTCAGAGAAGGAAAAACATTTTCAGAGAAGTGATGCTGGTTTTTCAGACATGAGTGTAGCTCATAGGGTCAAGTGCCCATTTAATTAACAAAGATGGGTGGAGAAAATGCCTAGAGTAAAGGAAAAAAGCAAGGTCCCATGTAAGATTCTGGCAGGGTGTGACACAGACCATATTTCCTTGTTGTTTTCCTGCAAAGAGAATATAAACTCAGGTCTGATTTTACTTTTGACAGTTTAAATTGTTGTCTGTATTTGCAAAAATGCCCTCTCCCAGAGGACAGTTTGGTTACTGGTTTATTTATTCCCCTATGACACAGATGCACAAAGAACACAGGCTTTTGTATGCTTTTTAGGTTGTTATAAATGGTCTCTTCATTGCTGAATTTAGAAACACAGATGCAGTTTTCATGAGCATGGAGAATATCATCCACAAAAGAATTCTTAGTTGCAATAGTAGTGGATAACTGAGAATATAGAAAAAGAATGAAGAAGTAGTTTCTTTAGCATGGTGAAAAGGAGAGAACGTTCTTTTTCTCCCTGGAGTAAATAACCTGTTAAGGGCAAAAGAAATAGCTGGGTCCATGGAACCAGGAATCCACATTCCAGCATTTTGCAATAATAGCCTCTTTCAAATATAGATTTCATCACAGTTTATGGACACTGAGCCTCACATACTCATGAGCTCATGCTGCGTTTTTATTTACTCTCTTTTTACTGAGGACAAACAGAGCAGGGAATTTTTAAATAGTCATTTAAAGTTATAAAGATAGCATTTGAACCCAGGACCCAGAGTCTCTGGGACAACAAGGAGAGGACACCCATGGTGGGTTGACAGGTGATTCTCAGTTACTGTTTTATTTATTATTATGTATGTAGTTCAGTTTGAGACAGAGTTTTGCTATGTATATAGTTCAGGCTGGCCTCAAACTTGAAGCAATCCTTCTGCCTCAGCTTCCTGAGTGCTGGGATTATAGCTCCCAGCTCCACCATGCCTGGCAGTTACTATTTTGTGGAGCAGGAAGTGATTAACCCAGAGGAAGGAATGAGCCAGGATTTCAGCAAAGTTCTTGAGACCCAGAGATCCTGATGTCCAATACCTGGCATCTCTCATTGGGCTCAGCTTTGCCCAAGTTTCCAAGGAGAAACAGTGGGATTGCGATTCACACTTACTAACTCTGGGTGCTTCTTGAAAGTTGAGTTGGGCACTTGGAATGGGGTATTTGTGAGGAGGGGGAGGAGTAGGTAAGTTATTAGTGAACAGGATGGACAGCCAGTCACTAGCAGGCTTCAGCAATATCAAAGGGAAAAAGTGACATCACTTTTCATTACTTTTCTCATTTACCATCTTGGTTCTCTTTAAAAACCAAAAGAGAACCATGCACTGGCTAGCTCTGCGAGCATGGCCGACTGTGACAGCCACACCCAAGACACAGGCAGGCCCACCCTTGCCAGCAACCGACACAGACCTGTCAGACCCTGGCCAAACTGTTGAAGTAGGACTAAAAGTAATTCGAAAGACCCACATCTCAGTGCGTTCCGTTTAAAGATGAAGTTGTAAAGATTATGCAGGAGTATTTTCTCTTAAGGGAGTAAGAATGCTAAGCTGCGAATGGCTGGGAGGGTCCTGTAAGGGCAGACGCAAGTCCTGGGTACAGACAGGGTGTCAGGGGTGGGGGGTGCACATGAGGTATCTCTCTCAGCCACTTGGGGGCTAAGACAAGGGTGGATGGCTACAGCCGGGATTCAGGACCAGCCTGGGAAAACAGTGAGACAGTGTCTCATCTGATCCCCCCCGAAAAGGTCTCAGGGGTTGCAAAAAGGACCATATTTCAGAGGCAGAGGCAAATGCATACAAGTAGCAGCAAGTCATTCACTGCTTCAAAGAGAGTTAAGTTCCAAGTTCCAGAAGTAATTTATTAGCACAGCTAAATCTAACGGGCAAAAATTATCATCTACTTAGAAAGCCAAGGTGGAAGTAGGAAGCAGAAGGAAAAAATACTAGGTGTCATCAGTTTTTATTCTAAATTGCATCGGTTCACTAAAAACAACTATTTCCACAGGACTGAGTCCATAACTCTAACAGAATAATAATACAAATCAGGAATGTGCAAATCTATATTTTTATTAAATGATTTTAAAATGGCTACAAGTAACAGCTAAAATAGCTACACAGTATTGTTAGATGAGATTATGCTTACATTCTTGTTCACATCAACATTTTGGAAAATGATAAGATAATCTTTTTTTTTTTTTTTTTTTTTGAGACAGGGTCTCACTACATAGTTGAGACTGAACTGGAACTCACTATGTAGCCCAGGCTGGTCTCGAACTCACAGTGATCCTCCAGTCTCAGCCTCCCAAGTGCTGGGATTACAGGCATGTGCCACCATGCCTGGCTTGATAATATAATCTTGCTTTGATTAAAAAAATAACAACAAAAGTTTACTGGCATTCTGTCATATACATTTTGTAAACTACAATGTTGTATTATAGTAATTAATGTTCACAATTAGGCAGTAAATAATTTAGCAGTAAAGATCTCCAAATGCCCTTTTAAATTATCAGAATGATATTTGATACATTAAAAAATACTTCGAGATAGTTTTAATGGGGAGTTATCACCCTTTCAGCCTTGAAAATTTGGCAAATCACATATAAAAGTTAATTTTATTAGAATGTGCAACTAACCAGAGAAAGCTGTTCTTTATAGCACTCCAACAATTTGTGAAAAAGGAAATGTGGCCTGGGGAAAACATTTCCTCTTCTTTTAATACCTTGTACCAAGTGCATCCCTCGCCAGTTACAGAGGGTCCCTTGGGTCTCAGAACTTTCCACAAGCATTTAGGTCTCTATGACAATGTACCTGCTTGCTGACGTGGAAACAGGTGACAAGGTGGCATCAGGCACAGGACAACCATCGGGCAGAAGCTTTGGCTCCAGAGAGCCACACAGCTCTTGAGCATTTGTGATGGGCTGATCCACCTGGCCAGGAATCTCTCTTCAGAGCCACCTGGGCCAGGCTGCCCAGAGTCCCCACCTCCAGGAACGCTCTAGCGGGCTGGCAGCTCTGGAGGTGCCAGTGTTTCTGATGGACGTCACTGTGCCAGGGACTGGGGGCTCCTTCTGGGACTCCACTTGCATGGATGCTTAAGTTTTCCCCTCTGGTGCCCTCTGGGGGGCATGACTCAGGTGAGAGGAGCCCCTTTCACCCAGCCGTGGTCTCATGCAGCCCTTCAGCATCCCCGTTCAAATCACACTGCAGGGCAGCCGCACGCACCAGGGGAGGTAAGTCGCCACCGATCTTTTGGTCTGTAACAGGCATCTTGCTGAACAAGCGGTTCCAGGGGCTGGTGTGTAATGAGGTTGTGAGGTGAGTCTGGTCTTTGTGCTCTGAGGAAGCCCACAGGCCTGCTTCCCAGGGTGCCCCTGAGGCTTCCCCAGCAGCACTGACCTCATGGGGCTATGTGCTTGTTTACTGAATTCCTCCTCGAGGTGACAAGCTCTGGATCCTGGCGCTAACGGTGGTCCAGCACAGAGTTGCTGCTCAGTTTATAGCTCTTGGTTGAATGAGTGAGGAAGTTACACTAGCATTTGATTCTTAGAGAATTGTTGAAATCACAGCCCCGCATTCAAATTCCAGCTTCACCACTTACCTGATGATAGCACCCTATGCAAGTCACTTACCTATCTCTGCCTCATCTTTACCTACCTGTGAAATGGAAGTAGAGAATCTCTGGGCACTCTCCAGAAGATCATTCTGTTCCGTGCACATTTCAGCTGTTGATATTAACCAGCCACCTGCATCCCGTAAAGGGCGAAGTGAGGTTATCTTTAGGACCCTTTGTCCCCAGGTAATGCAAAGCAAAGGAGATGAGAGCTTTTAGTGCTAGGTGCTCCTGCTGCCTGTCTGGGGTTGAGGTAGTGCGGTCATCCAAAGGGGACCCCAAAGCAGAGAGATGAGCAGCGCCTGAGGATGGAAAGCATACTGGCGAATTCTTGATCTGGGGTTCATTTCACAGCCATGTTTGCTCACTATGCGAATTGCACGCTTCAGTGATCCCAGCGGAACTGGGAGCTGAGAAATAGAAACCCTGAAGATGGTAATAGGCATCTCCGTTTTCCTTTACACTTATAGCTACTTGGGAGAGAAGACACAGGAGGAGAGTGAGATGCAGGGGTGTGGAGAGGGTCTGGATTCAGGAGGAAGGGACACATTACAGAGAACAGAAAGAGATTCTTCTCTCCTAGAAATGAACCAATGCTATAATGAACAGACAGCTATGGTGAATCACTGTGTGGCAGAAGATCAAATGGCAGACGTGCCACAAACAAGTTTTAATGCCTCATTCACTTCATAATGAACCAGATATAGAGGCAGCCGTTTGTTTCCAAAGCAATGCACAATCTCCTTTTCGTTTCTGAAATGCACAACTGGATGATTGCTGTTTCCTCTTGATAAACTTGATGAACCACCCTGTTTCAAAATAACTTGTTAAATAATTTTGCAATTAAAAAAACAGAAGGGTAAAAACAATTGCCCAATTCTCCCCTGCAACAAAAACAAATTGCAGGGAAACATTAACTTCATGCGTCCCACGCGGAGGAGTCACGGGTCAGGTGAATTACGGAGCTTTGATGAGCCGCAGCTTGTTTCTGAAGAGCACGCCTTGCCCAAGTTTCCGCGCTGGAGGGAGGGGCTGCTGGCTTCTGCGGGATCACACCCGGACGAATGAGTTCAGGCTCCTGTAGTTGAGTTCGCGCCCCGGGCTGAGGCACAGGGCGCCTGCAGCGCCGTCTCGCGCAGGTCTGGTGGTAAAGTCAGCCCTCTCCGCGGTGAAGTCAACGCGGCGGGTCAGATGCTGCCCTGAGGGGACACGTGCCTCAGGATCATTCGCTGGTCAGAAGGGGAGATGAAAGAAGAGAAAATGCCTTTATCTGTTTCACTGACCAGAGAGTAAGTTAGGTGATTTAAGTGATTTGAGGTCCTTGGATGAATGGTGCTTGTAAATGACATAACGTTGATTACAGGTCTGGTGATGGTCTCAGAAAACTGGAAGTGACCTGATAATGTTCAGTAACAGCATGAGGAAGTGATGGCTCAGCCTATCGATGGAGCATTCTGTAGTTGACAGAGAGGCTACGGAAGAATTGTTAATGACATGAAAAACTTCTAAGTGAAAAATATACCGCCAAGCTACTTTGAGATTTCATGATTTTAAAACAATATAGAGCCGGGTGTAGTGGAGCACATCTGCAATCCCAGCTTTTGGGAGGCTGAGACAGGAAGACTGTCTTGAATTGAGCCCAGCTTGGGGCTACATGGTGAGTTCAAAGCCAGCCTGAACGACATACTGAGACCCTGCCTCACAAACAAACAAACAAAGAAAACAAAAACCAGAGGAATCCTTGAACGTTTGTTGAGGCTTCCTTCCTTGGTGGCTGTTTGTGGTCAGGAATCATTAATGCTCCATTTTTGCTTGAGAAGAATGTGTGTTCTGCACAAGGCAGTAGTTTATCACTTAGATAAAACTGCTAATACCTCTGCTTGTCTTATTTCCTTGCTGATTTGTCTGGTTGAACTATCAGTTATTAAGAATGCATAAGAAGGCCCAGGGATTTAGCTCAGTGGCCCTTCTCCTGCCTCATAAGTGCAAGGTCCTGAGTTCGATCCCTGGTACCCACCCCCCAAAAAAAGGAATACATAAGAAGATCTCATAATCTGACAACAGATCTTGTCTATTTCTCCTACAGTTCTGTCAATGAATTATGGCTTTTAGGGTTATACAAAGTAGAACTGCTTTATCTTCTGGGGGAATTGAAGCTTTAATTTTGTACTGCTTTACTCCTAAAAAGCTTTTCAAGGAACATTTCAGATTGATCTTTGTTCCAGTTTGCCTTATGTATTCCAACCTTTCTTTATCTGTGTTTTAGATGTGTCTTTTGTAAAAATAATAAATATATATTTAAACCTAGTCAGACAATCTCTATACTTTAACTGGATCCTTCAAATCATTTAATTTATGATAATTTCTAATATACCAGTAGAGTAACATTATTCTATCATGTTATTTTGTGATATTTATGTTTTCCCCTTCATGAGTTTTTTTTTAATTGAGTTTATTGGTACATTTTAGGTATACAGTACAGTTACATTCATCATTGGGATCTTGTACCCCTACATGACAGGTCTTGGTTCTCATTTTTTCCCCTTGTCCCTGCTCATGAGTTTTTTCCTTCTTTCTTTTGTATGGATTTTCCTCTTTGATTGTTTTTCTGAGTTTGGAAGTTAGATCACCTATTCCTGCTTCTTTAAAGGCCACTCTACAAACTTCGCACACAGATGTGGAGTAACCAAAGTGAAAGCAGTGTCTTTATCTCTCACTCCCTGAAATTACCAAGCATTTAGAACACATCAGCACTGCTATCGCACCGATGTGTACTCCTGTCATGCATTTATCTTTCCTTTTCATCCCCCAAACGTCAAAATGTAATAAGAATTACGATTGTTATTTCATAGTGGCAATGTCCTTACCTGTTTACTCCTGCATAGGCTTTTCATTTCTGATTAGGTCTCTGGTCTGTCACCGGGATTATTTTCCTTCTGCCTAGAGAAAATATTTGACCTCTTCCTTAAGGTCTGTTGAGGGCAAACGCGGTTTTGGTTGTCTCAATTCACTTTCACACATAGGCCTGAGAGAATTTTATGAGATACACAATTCTGTGCTCACTTTCTCTTAGCATAGTGACGATGCTCTCACTTCCATTTTGTTGCAGAGAAGTAAGTGTTCAGTTTGTCAGACCTTTGAAGTGAATCTGTCTTTTTCTCTGGCTGCTAAGATTTCACTCTCTCTCTGTCTCTTTTTTTTTGTCTTTCTGGCTATTAAATATATTTGGATATGCCTAGGTATAGATTTCTTTTCCTTTTATGCCACAGGGCTTCTGGAATCTGTGGATGGGTCCTTCATCAATTCTGTAATTTGATTTTCTCTTTATCATATTGCTTCTAGCATATCTTCTTTGAAATTCTGAATACATGCCATGTTAGACATTTTCCATCTATCTTCCATGTTTCTTAACCTCTCTTTAGTAGGGCCAGGGATTTAGCTCAGTGGTTCCACTGCCTGCCTTACAAGTGCAAAGTGCTGTTGATTATGCTTTTAGATGTAAGTAAATGATCATTAAATCTGTCCACTACTTTTTCAACTTTCATGTCACTTCTTTTTCACTTCTAGAAATTCTATTTGATTCCTTATTTTTCTTTTTTATTTATTTATTTATTTATTTATTTATTTATTTATTTATTTATTTATTGAGACAGGGTCTCATTATGCAGTTCAGGCTTCCCTTGAAGTCAATGTAGCCTAGGCTGGCTTTGCCCTCATGGTGATCCTCCTGCCTCAGCCTCCTGAGGCTGTGATTACAGGCATGTGCCACCATGCCTGGTTAAACTTTTAATATTAGTTTGATTTTTTTTGAGAGAGGGTCTTGCTATGTAGTTCAGGCTGCCCTTGAACTCACTATGTAGCCTAGGCTGGCCTCAAACTCATGGCAATCCTTCTGCCTCAGCCTCCCGAATGCTGGGACTATAGGTGTGTACCACCATGTTTGGCATCGATCATATTTTAGCGTCCTTTACTCTTTTTGATATTTTTAATCCTTCACTTTTTAAATATGAAGAATATTGTATATATATATATATATATATATATATATGTGTGTGTGTGTGTGTGTGTGTGTGTATGTGTATAGATATAGATTTAGATAGATCTTATCTTCTTCCCAAATATATGATTTTTGTGTGTGGATCGGATTCTGTTGTCTATGTTTATATACTTGAAGTCCCTTATTTCCTGTGTGTCTTATGATTTTTTAACGTGAATATGTACTCTGGAAATTTATGGTTCATTTGAGGTCTAGGCTAGAAGTAGGTAGAAGGCACAACTTACTTAAAACAACCTTAAGCTAACTGCTTAGCTTGAGGGTTTTGGATTACCCAGGTAGAGTGAATTCAGACTGCACCCTCCTGAGGATCATCTTTTACTGGGTCTTCAAATTAGAGGGGAGATTATAATTTTCCTCCTTTCTCATTGTTAAGGTTTGAGAAAAACATTTTCCTTACAGTCTCCTGTAGAGGTGTGTGTGTGTGTGTGTGTGTGTGTGTGTGTGTGTGTGTGTGTGATTGTGACTGTGTTATTTCAACATCAACTTGTCACTGAGACTTAAATACTTTGGCTCCCCAGCTCCAACTGAATGATGTACAGTAGACCCTTGACTTACAAACTTGATTGGTGCCTCAGGGCTGGTTGTAACCCAAGTTGGTTGTAAGTCAATACAGCTGAGATCTTGGTTTTCCCTGGGTACACGCTATACATAACAAGAGGCAGATGAGTCTTCCATTAACCAAATTAACCCAAGTTGTTTGTATGTCAGGCCAGTCATAACTTGAGGGTCTGCTGTATTAAATTCCGCATCTTGGAAAGGCTCTGGGCATGATCTTTTGTCCCTGTGACCATAAACTTTGAGAGTGAAGCTCTGCAAATACCTACAAGGTGAAATTTTGGTTCTGTCCATTTTCTTGTTTGAGTTGCCATTTCACGTACTTTGTGTCCTTTGAGTTTTCCAAATCCTTTACGTGTTAGTCAGAATTTCTAGCTGTTTGCAGTTAGCATGGGTATCAATACCCTGTACTGCAGAAGGAGGATCCTATTACTTTTACAATAACAAAAATTTATCTGTGTGCTCATTTTCAATGGTGATTTTTCTTCTCCCAAACATGAAACTGCTTCCCTCTCATCCTCCTTTTCCTCCTTCTTTTTGAAGACAGGGTCTCGTTATGTATCCCAGTGTTGGAGTGAACTCACAATATAGCTCAGGCTGGCCTCAGACCTGTAATCCTTCTGCCTCAGCCTTCCAAATGCTGGACTTACAGGGTGCACCACTCCCCTGATTTTTCATCAAGCCTTAGAACAAAGCGAACAGAAATATTAGAAACAGGAAGTCTGGACTAGGGTTCTGGCAGCTCTCTTGTTCCTAAATGAGATCAGAATCTAACAGGTTGTGCCAGTTTTATGTAACATACCATTATAGACAGGATAGCTAATGAGTGCTTTAGAAATGCCACAGAGACCTCACTGAAAGCTTCTTCACTCGTGTATTCCAAGGATATCTTACAATAAACCTCCAGGATGCCTTGCAGTGCAGATCAACTGAAATCCAGTGTCAGAGGATGAGGAAGAATGGATGGTGTTAGGTACTGGAGACTACAGAAAATACCCAAACCTGACTGTAAGGCTAAAACTCTCCTTAATCAGTATACCAGATGTACTGAAAAGTCATAAAATACTCTAGTTCGCACTTACAAATGTTTCTTTTCTGTGACCGTTCCCTGAGGATAAGATGACAGAGGATGAGTAAACTATCAAAGGAGACTAAAATGTGTCCAACCAGAACTTCAGGGCCCGAGGTAAGGTTGCCGTGGGCGCTGCAGCTCCTGGGACGTCCTGCCTCACCAGCCGCTTGCCTCATTTCCTCAGAGTCTGAAGGTGCTGCAGGAGAGAAAGGCGAGGAAAGGGCGAGGGTGTGGGAAAAAGGCTGAAACAACAGCAACAATTAGCAATTCCCTTGATAGAACTTGTGCTTGGCTTCAAAATTTGGTAAGCTTTTTAGGCGGCTTGATAGAGCCTGAGTTTTTACTGTTAGAGATGCACTTGTTTGGCTTACGACTTCAAAAAGCCTGAAAAATGGAAACACTTTGGGGAACAGGGAACTTCCAATCAGTGGAACCGGTCACGTGAAGCGGGACTGAGCAAACTGGAGGACATGATCCATCCATTGGGGTCGCCACTCGCTGCCTGGCGCGGCTGGCGGTTTAGCTGTAGGAATGCAGATTTTGGAATTTTTCTGAGGGGTTAAAAGTCAGCACTTTTGGGAGAAATATCCCGATGGAAAGTACTAGCAATAATCTCGCCAGCAAACCAAACCAAAGACACCCCCCGGCGGGGCGCTGTCGATGCGCCACCACTCGGACCTGTGCGTCGCCCTAGACATCCATGGTGAGAGAACCTGTGCTGCAAAGGGATTTCCAGTGCAGGGACATCCAATCAGAGCACGCGGGGACAGCACTGAAGTCTCCACCAGTGCGGGCGGCCTGGGCCCTCGGTGGACACGAGGCCCGGACAAGACCGACCTCCCCGGATTAGGGTGCGTTTGCCCCAAATGGGACTTCTTTCATTCTTTCCAGATGAAATTCATAGAACAGTGTAGAAAGTATTTTCAGAAAGGAAGTACAATATCCCCGAGAGGTCAGTTTTTGATTGTTTTGTTTTTTTGGTACCGGGGATCGAACTCTGGACCTTGTGCTTGTGAGGCAGGTGGCAAAATCACTGCCCTAAATCCCTGACCCCTGCGAGAGATGTTTTTAATGTTTATTTACATAAAAGAAATTAAAGCTACTTATAGATATCTTTCTGGTTTTTGATTAAACAGATTATTTTTTTCATACCAGGGATTGAACTTGGGACCCTGTGTTTGAGAGGCAGGCAGTGGAACCACTGAGCTAAATCCCCATCCCTAAGCAGATTTCTAAAGACTTCTACTAGGCAAAATTCCTTAGTCTTGTTACAATATCTTTGAAAAATACTCAAGAACACATTTTGGCTTAGACGGACTTTTCCCCAGGTTCTGCAGGTGGGATCCTGATTTGTTGCATTGAACTTTACCTTCAGGATGGCAGCAAATGAGATTATTCCTCTTTTCCTCATGTTGGTAAATGTTGCCACTTTTACTTATTTATTTTTGGTACTCAGGATCAAACTCAGGTCTTTGAGCTTGCAAGGCAGGCAGTGGCACCACTGAGCTAAACCCAGGGCCGCCAGGGCTTTCACATTGAGCTTCATGCCGATCCTTTCATTTTTTACTTTGAGACAGGGTCTTGCTGAATTATCCAGGCTGGGTTTGAAGTGAGTTCCACCTCCCTCAGCCTCCCCCAAAGGCCGGGATTACAGGCATGTAGCACCATATACGGCTATGTTGCCGCTTCTTTATGAGCTCATTGTGACATCTGCCACTCTCCCTGCAGGACGGCCTTTTCTATCCCTGGGAAGAAGAGACAGAGAGATTACAGCAATGGAGAAACACCGGATGTGCACAAGAAATTGCCGTCCAGTGCTGGAGAGGACAGAGCCATGCTGCTGGGGTTTGCAATGATGGGTTTCTCAGTCCTAATGTTCTTCTTGCTTGGAACAACCATCCTGAAGCCTTTCATGCTCAGGTAAGAAACAGGGACACAAGATCCGAGCTCCCAGTCTGGATCCGACCAGGGCACACTGGTGAAGCCAGGGAGGCTCGCTTTGGTTTCTCCAGTGACTCCTGACAGGTCAGGGAGATTCGAATGCCTGTCTCTCTGACCATCATGGGAAGCAGGTGGCGATAGAGAATGAAGTGCTAAGAAAGCGGCAGCTATTCCTTCACTCCCTGCCCTCTGATCTCATAATCCACATACATCTCAACACATAATTCACAAATTAAATATCCATTTAGGTCACAGATTCTCCTTTTGAGATGTCAGTTTGCCAGGGAAAGGGGTCATAAAGAGGAAGTGAGTGGCCTACTTTTTGTTATTTTTCCTTTACTCATTCACTTTTGAGACATGGTCTCACCATGTAGTTCAGGCTTTAAACTATGTTGCCTCAGCTGGCCTAAAACTCATTATCTTCCTGCCTCAGCCTCCCAAGGGCTGGGCTCACAGGCACATGTCAAACATGCCATTTTGTTATTTTTCGGAGTCATCCATTCCTAAATTAGCAGTGTCAGGGGAAAGTGTAGAGGTCACCGTGTTCTGAAGCCCACAGTGCCACTATTAGGATACAGGGGAATTTTCTAGAGGCATTCCTTTCTAGAGGAGAAATGTGCTTCTGGGGAGAGTTCCTGGGGAGAATATGTTTCCTCTCCTTCTAGGTGTGAGACGCTGCCCATACACCTTGGCTCCTGAGGTCCGAGGTCACCTTAAGTGAAGCCTCTCACACCCTCACATCACAGCACCCCAACACTTCTCCCAGCACATCTCAAGCTCCACCCCCCCAGCAACTTTTGTGCCCTAGGCCTTGAAGTCGGGTTAAAGTGCACAGTGGTCTCAAGTTTATTATGTCAATATATAGAAATTATTTATGGTCAGTGATTTTAAAGACAGTAGGGTATGAACCTAAAAAACAATGTTTTTGAAGCATTCTGACTTTAAAGCTTGCTCATCAAGCAAGCTTAAGGCAAGAGGAAATAAACACAGACTCACTGAGATGGGAGTGCAAGGGACAGGAGCAGCTCGTCTCAAAAATTCAATCTCAAGATTTCCTCTCATCTTCATTTACTTTATCTTGGATTTGTGCTCTAATTATTTCATATCTACAGGTCCTTTCTCAACACCACCAAAGTTTTCATGGCAAGAACATTGTCTACCACTTGTACAAATAACATTTTCTTAGTAAGGTTTAATTCAGTAAGCATTTATAAAGTCATGCCCATGTTTTGAGGAACATAAAGATGAATAGGACATAGCTCTTGACTTTAAGGAATTTACAGGTGGCAAATATACGATTGCCTGTATTTGAGTTTTGGAAAGTACAGCGTGTACAGGAATGGAATTGGACGTTGTTACTAGAACGCCTAGAGTCTGTATTGAGTCCTTCCAAAGGACAAGGAACATGAGGTGATGAGATTTCTGAGTGTGACTCTTGGTGATAAGTACTTAGGCTAACATCACAGTGTGTTTCTCCCAATATTTATATCTTAAATACCATTAAATATAGATTTTTGGGCCTCAACTCACACTCACTGAACCAGAACCTCTGCAAGCAAAGCTTTGGGGTCACATTTAACGAGTTTTCCTAACAAATTCTTTCAGATGATTCTAAAACTTGAGTACCACAGATCTGAGGGAATCTTAGGGTTGGTATAGTGAGACACATAGCAATAGAATAAAAATTGAGACAGGGACTGGCACTTTACTGCTGTGTACCCCATGTCCATGTCCTCCATACTCCCTGATCCTTATGCAGCTTGTTAATGGTTCCACATCACTCCCTTAAAACAAATGCCTTGACTACATTAGGACTACAGAACTAATTTCTCTAATAGCTGAAGAACATGCATTTTTCCACATTGAAGCATACAGAGAGAAGAATCAAACTGCACAACCATCCACACACAGATCACGGATGATTGGCTGGACTGTGCTGTCACCTGCAGTGTGGACTGCCGAGGTCAGAAGTATCCATGTCTCCAGGTGTTTGTGAACCTCACCCACTCAGGCCAGAAAGCTCTCCTACATTATAACGAAGAGGCTGCCCAGTTCAGTTCTGAGGTAATGTAAGTTCTTGTAATTAAAGAGCTTTTACCGCCAACAATCCCATGTCAGACTGTACTCAGCAGGGTCAGAACTCAGGGCCAGCTGTAAGGATCAATGTTTTCTTTTAGTATTTTCATCATGTTTATATCAGGATAAAGAAAATGAAAAGCATTCTTTGGGGGAGGACTGGGGTATACAAAAGGAAGGGCATTATTCTAGTTTCACAATTTGGTGTCTGAAATTTGTAGGCTCAGGCAATGGAAAGAGGTATTAGTGGACTGTCTTACTTTCAGAGCTCCTGCTCCCTGGAATATCAAACATGTTAAAAAATATAATCAACAGTCTGCCTTCAGTCAAGCAAATTTGTCTTATTAAATTTAAACATTGTATTTTGATTTTATGTTATATAACTGGTCAGCAAAATTTAAAGTTAACTATAAAAATTGTATTAGATTAGATGACACTGCATTTTGGTGTCATCTGATTTCAGTATGATTTTAGTTTTGGATGCAATGATGTTTAGTCTCCAACATTTTAACACCGTGCCCCAAGTGCTTAATCGATACGGTAGTAAACTGCAAACTTTTAGCTTACTACCTGGAAGTGGTCATTTCACTCCATGCTCCCTGGCCAACCATCCTCATAAGCTATGTGATATTTGGCTAAGACTGAAATTTTTTCTCTTCTAGCTTGAGGCTGAAGCTATTTCAGAATTAAAACTGTTAAATGCTTGATACTGGTGATAGTACTCTCATCTTTTTCCTCCTCCATATTCCTTAGTGCTTTTACACACCGAAGTGTCACCAAGATAGGAATGATTTACTCAACAGTGTTCTGGACATAAAGGAATTCTTCGATCACAAAAATGGAACCCCTTTTTCATGTTTCTACAGTCCAGAGAGCCAATCTGAAGATGTCATTCTTATAAAAAAATACAATCAAATGGTTATCTTCCACTGTTTATTTTGGCCTTCCGTGACTCTGCTAGGTGGTGCCCTGATTGTTGGCATGGTGAGATTAACACAGCGCCTGTCCCTCCTCTGTGAACAATACAGCACCAGAGATGAAGTAGGTGGCAAAATACCCTCAATAGGACAGCGTCAGTACAAACTGTGGAGTACAGACAAGAGGAAAGGAAGAAACAGAACAATATTAAGATAATGGCCAAATTAAAATGTTGGCCTTAGACATTAATTTCTTCAGTGAAGACCTAATTACGCCTGCTTGCAAACTAGCCATGTAAAGGGTAAAGTTATTATCATACTACTTTCACATGAGAAACACTTTTAAAAAGCCTCTTTCTGTATTCTACAAGTATGTACAAATTCACACACCATCTTTTCTACTCCAAATCTTTCTCTACGTAGGTCACCCCACAGGCAAGATGAGTTCAAGGTAGTTGTTGATCTAATTTCAGCTCTAGCTGGAACTTGTCAGTATGAAAACCAATGATGATGAAGTCATCTGATCTGCTAAGCATTCAACTATCAGCCTAACTCTAGGCAGTATAGGCTATTTGAAAACATTTCTCATGATGAAAATCCTTAGTGAAGAACACTTCATTCACTACAGAAACATAACAGTTAGAACATTTAAGAAAATGTGGGCCTACCATTTTATTAGTTTGTTCTTTCTTCACCATTCACAATGAAAGAGAAAAGCTGCCGCCTAGAAAATTCAGTAAATTTATAGTGATTTGTACTTAGCCTTGCCATGTACCATGTAATTTTTCTTTCAACAACTTTCCTCATTAATTATGCTTTTCATAAGCTCACTTCACTGTGCACATTTTGGTAGGATTACAAGTGTTGACTAGAAATGTGAAGTAACGAAAAGCTGTTCTGGACTTCAACAGGTACTTCAGAAAATCCACAGTGTAGAAAAGCACAATGGCAGTCAACAGTTGCCTAATTAATGAATCAACCACAGTTATTAAATGACAAGTGTTATAGGTCTCTCCCAGCAAGTACTTTTCAGAATAACTACGATGAAAAATGAGTTGAGAACAGTTTGTTCTCATTTTCCAATATACCTCAGTTTCAAATTTTCATTAAAAAGCTGTCTGGTATCCCAGCAATCTGGGAGCTTAAGGCAGGAGAATCATAATTTTGAGTCAAGCCTGGACAACTTAGCAAGACCCTTTCTTAAAATAATTGAATGAGTAAATAAATACATGCAGGTGGGCTAGGATCTAGCTCAGTGTGAAGGCCCTGGGTTCAATCTCTAGTACAAACTTGAACAACAGAATGACTTTTGAAGTTTACCTGTACATATAATCAAATGACAAGCTTTGATTCTAACTCAGTTTAATGTATTTTAGTAATTAATTTCAAGCCACAAATTGATAACTTGAGTATGAAGCAGAATATTGACCAGTAATGAACAATCTTGGTTTTTCACCCTGTAATGTGCAAAGGACCCATCTCAGGGTAGATTCATTTCAATTTGTAGGGCATAATTACAAGTTTTTAGACATACATCCTTGGGCAAAGCAGCTAACCCATCCAAACCTCTCTTATCTATACCATAGAGATAGTTTCTTCTTTTATTATTTAAAGCACAAACAAGGTGGGGTAAATGAAACACTTAGATTTCAATTTCTAGAAGAGGCGCTCAAAAATGCACTAGCTAAAAAAAAAAAAAAAAAATCTTGTGCAGAGCTGCAATAGTTAGCTTTGTAATGGGAGGCTGGGGTAGGGTACCAGAAGAGTAGACTCTCTCGGCTCACTCCCCCATTCTTTTGGCTAAATGTGATATACATTTATGGCTCAGAAGGGCCGGGGTTTAGCTCAGTGGTTCCTCCACCTGCCTCGCAAGCACAAGGACCCAAGTTTGATCCCTGGTACCAAAAAAAAACAAAAACAAAACAAAACAAAAAAACACTATGGTCATTTATGGCTCAGAATTTGCTGCTTAAATGTTGCAGTAAATTATTTTGCATGCTAAAGATTTTCCCATAATAAAGTACATGTGTGCATGTACATTTTAAATCATTCTGCAAGTGAGGATTCTGTAGTTTTCTTAAATTAAGGGCACACTATATTCTATTTCTTAGTACATCTTAGCAATATGTAGTCACTATATGATTTTTCTTCTAACAAATGCAAGCTGAAGCATATATTGCAATTACTTTCAGTTTTCCATTTAGATAGTGGCTACTTGTTCATTTCAGAAATTATACTTAGGGAACAATGTCAATTTAAAGTTCAAATCATTTGACATAGCAATAAAATTTAATCACTGATTAAATGCTTAGAAGTAGTAAATTATCAAAGCTGATATACATTACTGGTCAAAGTCCCGACTTTACTATAGCAATGCTTAATGATAACTAAAAGCAAAATTAGTTTGCTTCTAGCCCTACTTTATTTTTAGGCTTTGGCCTTTAACTGACTTGAAAAGACTACTTATAATCTCTCTCTCTCTCTCTCATATATATATACACACACACACACACACACACACACACACACACACACTTTATACTTAAAGGAAGTTAATATCCAAACATACATTTGTCTAATATTCATCACTTTACTAGGGCAGAGAACTGGCTTTTAAGTCATAATTGTTTTAGGTTTTAAAACAAGTATTCTTCCTCATTATTGAAAAGAACCCAAATCCAGCTAAATTTTGATTATTAGCAATACTACTTTGCTTCTCAAAGAGACATGGCAAAACAGAATATCACAGCTCTTTCTTACATAATACACTAAGGATTGTTTGGACACAAGTCAAGGTAATTCTTTTTTTTAATAAACAGTGTGATGTTACAGACTGCAGAGTTAAAGAAAAGCAGACATTGACAGTTTTGATGAGCACAAACAAACAATAAGTGCAGTCACAGGCCAAACTTCTTGCTAGGAAGAGCAAGACTGGGAAGAGGTCTTAAATTTAGTGCTATTATTCTATACTCTCAATATAGTAACACATGCATCTTGCTGTGTCAAATACTTTTTGGGTCATCATAAAGAGGACACTGAAAACATTTTTTTCCTAATGCATTATACCACAGGACTTCAATTCATGGAATAAATAGAATATAGAGAAATAGACTTGCTGTAATTAATGGGGCAAAAATAAATAAATAAAAGGAGTGGTTTGGGCTCCTTATTGAAGCTTCTAAAGTAAACAGTTGATGTGTCAGCAGTCTTTTGGTAGCATCACATCCTCCAGGATATGAAAATGTTAGGTTCCAAAGGGTATGTTCTTTTGAATTTTATTAAGCAAATTAAGTCTGAAGACTTAATCACATTGAAACCATTAACTGCACATAAAATCTGAGTTCCATAGCCAAAAAGATCTCTAGAAATCTGATAAATACCAAGTTCTCCAACCACTCTTAGGACATAAATCTGGTAAGGAACTTAAAAAAAAATGAAATCAGTAGATGATGACCACACTTTGAAATTCATTCAAGGATTAAGGAAGTTTAGTTGTATTAAAGATATTTTAATGTGAAACACCAAAGGGATTTTGTTTCCTTGGAAACCTAGAAAGATCAATAAAAATAAGAATACCTTAAAATGTACATGGTTTTGCCACAAAATTATTGTCGTGACAGATTAAACGATGCAGATTGATAGACTTTACTTGGCTTACAAAATGTATTTAAAACTTTTTCCATACTTACCAACATGAAGAATGGATTCTGTTGGCAGGGAAAATTCAGTTACACTGAACTATACTATACATACATACACTCGACTAATTTTACTTCTCCTCACCACTAAAACTATGTACTTGTGCAAAAATGACAAGTCAGAAAATATCCCTCTGACTCACACCTGCTACTTTCTGCTAACTAGTGTGGCTAGACTATTAACACACCTAAAACTAAGCAAAAGGAATGGGGCTGCACTAATAAAAAGGAGATGCAACACCTTAATCAAGTGGAATACCTGGATGAAATAAATAAGTTTATTTGAAGACTAATATCCCAACATGGGAAATTCCTAATAAATTCTAAACTCTTCTGAATTTTAAAACCTTAGTATTTTTTTACATTTTATAAAAGATTCCTCTTGACTAGAGCTTGCAATGTGTGCAGAAACATACAAAATGCACTATAAGTGGAGAAAAGAGAACAAAATTGATTTTAAATGCCAAATTTGAGAACCTAGTAACATGAACTTCCTCACACTACACTACAGCCTTTTTCAAACGGCTGTAGCAATGATTAAATTTTAGCCAACAATTTTATTAATGTCTCCAGCACCGTTAAAAATAAGACATGCGAACTCTGACTTTGCAAATCCAAAATACAGTGCTCTGAAAAATTTCTGTAACCTAAGAGCCTGAAGTATTGAATTGTAAGTCATCTATTTTTCCTCTTAACTCTCTGAGGTATAGTTACTAATCCAGTTTTACTGGGACCACAATTATCTTGAGCTATATCCTAACAGTCTTTTCAGAGAGTAGAAATAATTTTTATGACAAAAGAAAACAATCTTCCCAGGCCATGACACATAAGATATGTGTACAATTTTAATGTATTAATTAAAATGGTTTTGTTTGTACTTTTAAAAACAGCCCAGCTGTATTATCCTGTCACCAAGAATTATTATTTGAGGGTGCTGTGAGTGCCGAATTTTATAGTTCAGCCTTCACAACCCATCCTCAATGAAGAGTTAATTCCCTCATGGTATGCACAATGTATTTTCACAACTTCCAGTCTTCTCTTAGACATGCCCCCATCTGAGAAGGATGGATATAAAGAATGCAGTTCATTCAAACAATTCCTCCCCATTCTGTCCCCTCCCTTCACACTTCCTTAATCTCAAAAACATCTGAAATATGAAAGCTGTCGTTAAATGGAAGCATCACCATCTATTAACACCATATATTGTTTTTAAACTTAATTATTTTAGTGATACCTTGGACATCAAGATCAGTTTTTTAGGTGGACTTCAAGGGTGTGGGTCCAGCCCAGGGTTATAGTTTGTATAGGCACAGAAAAGAAACTTATAATGTTCAGATAAAGTTAACATAGTAGCTTGAACATACTGCTAGAAATTAAATTTCTTCAGGAGTTGGCAGGCATGGGCTATTGATCAAAATATGAGTTAAATGGATCTACAAAATCATTATGTAAAGAAATGTCCAAGTTTATGTGCTATGAAATTTCCATCGTGCCTTTAAGATATTATTCATCTCACAATTTTAAAAAATAATGCCAAATCAGTCAGTTTTGATGGAAAACGAACACAGATGGACTGTGTTTTACCTATGTGAAAATCAATTTAAAATAAAATCTTGGGGTATGCACAATCTAATCAAACCATAATTTCCTAATTAATAAGAACTACAATTTACACAAAATACTTTATCAGCAGCTGTTTTCATCAAAATACCAATAGTCATAGTTTCACAGTTGAAAGTTACACATTAAAATATTTTACAATTCATTATATATTCACCAGTTTCCCATTTCCTAATGGGATTGTAATATAAAGTAGAATAAAGGGAAAACCTCAAAGTTGATTAGTCTGATACTAATTTTTACAGAGGACACTTAAAAACCAGAAAAAGCCGAGGTTCTATCATAAAATAGCAACCAAATTCCATTCTTCTTTTAAAAAATCCAATTTGAAACATCTTTAAAAATAAAACAAATTCCACAATATTAACAGATTTCAAATTAACAGCAGTCTAAAAATACTCAAAATAAATGTTTTCATATAGCTGAGAATATGGTAAAAAATGTGATTTTCAAACGATTGACTATTTCTTGCTACACTGTATTTAAAGCTAAGCTTTTTTCTCTAGATGTGATTTTTCCCTTCAAACTAATTACTGAAGGAATATTTCTCAAGTAATGAGACTGTGGAGCCAATAGTCAGTTACATCATGGTTGATGACAAACACAGTCAGCTGCAGCAACTGACCCGCTTACTCAAGTACCTGGAAGTGGCTGTATCATCACAGACCTGAAACAGATCTGTCACCCCGTGTATCTTGCTGTTCAATTTTTGTCCTTTGCCTCTCTGAACATTACCTGTCCTCCGTTTCTTAGATTACTTAGTCTATGTTCTCTACAGAATTTATCTATACTTCTCCAAATCAAATTAATTTGGTTGTAATAAATTAAAAATAAATGTATGTAATGAAATAAGCTATGTGGCTTGTGTGTTTTGGTTTATTTTGGTACCGGGGATTGAACTTGGGTCTTTGTGCTTGCAAGACAGGCCATGGAACCACTGAGCTAAATCCCCAGCCCTAAGTGGCTTGTGTGTTTTAACGGTAAAGCGGTCTTAGGGAATGGAAAGTGGGCAACTACCTGCACTAATGTGAAAAAAATGCAAAAATTATAGACTTTGTGCAAGGAGGCTCAAGGCTTTTTTGCACTTGAGTAAAACACAGTTCTGGGTTAATTCTTCAGTTTCCACCATCAAACTTTCAGATTTGTACCATTTCACTGAGTTTCTTATAATCAATCCCTGATACAGAAAAGGCTGCGATGTTGGTAAGTATCAACTGCATGTATCTAAATAACATAAAATGTTAACTGTTTAATGAAATCTCTATTTGCATAAGAATCTATCCGGTTTCCAACTTAAAACAGAGGTTAAATTCTGCATAATATTTCAAGACAATTTACAGAAATAAGCTCCCCTAATCTTCAAATTTATTTTTCATGTTCGCATTATATACATGCTTTAGTGAAGTACCTAACTCTTTAATTATGCCCTTAAAGGGTTCTGAAATAGGCAGATAATAAGAATATTTGCATTAGAGTCCCTGGTTCACTATTCAAGACTTCTGTAGGTATCTGATTTTGTAGAAGAATATTTTTAAAGTGATGCTGTTTTATTATACAATGTGCACTCTTTATACAGTTGTTCTCCAATAATGCCTAATCTAGAAAACTGTCAGTAAATTATTGCATTTTTTTTTTTTTTTTGGTGTGGCACCTGGGAATTTGCTAAAGCTATTTCCTAGAATATTTCTCATTCATTTCAAAAACTGAATAAAATATCAGATCCTACATTTTGGGTATTTTTCAAAATGTTTGAGAATGTGTTCTGTGCTCAAATGGGATTTAATGAAGTTGGATTGAGACCTGACCACTTGGGAAATGGGAAAATGACTTAATGTCCTACTTTTAATATTGAAATATGGATAAATAGCTTTAAAAAGTAAAAAGTTCATGGTTTCTATTCTCTAATATCATAAAGTACTTTCATGAACAGATTTCAGTAGAGAGGTTTAAGCAGTCAGGACGCTAGTCTAAATTGTGTTAATTTGGTAACTAATTTCACAAGATTGAGCCATTCCAACTAAAAAAGAATGGAAGATGAGGGAATCATGTGAAAATAAGAAAAAGAAAGAGGATGAAGTTCAATCTGCTTTCCTTTAAGAAGGTACACACTGGGTACTGGTGTAAATTGGACTGTGCTCGAGCCTCATCTCTAGACCAAGAGGAAAATGAATCATGCTGCTACAAACAATAAAAACTTTGGGGTGCAAAACAATGCATGACCATGGGACAGATTATGTAAATAAAGAATATATATTAATGATAGTTTCTATAATATAAATAGCCTTTAATAAAAAAAATAATCTTTTTAATAACATTAATACTCACTTCTATTTTCTGGAAAACATGCATGAAAAAATGTATTCGGTTCAATTGAAAAAGGAGAAAAAAATCAACTTAAGGTGAATACTGTACAATTCTGGAATAAGAACTATTCCTGATCATTCTTTTTTCTAAGATGATTATTTAATTTGTGGGAGCCCAGAATTTCCCTAGGAAATAAGAGTCAGATCTCGTCAATACTGTCAGAAAACAATAACAGCAATAAACCAACCACAAAAAGTCCAACAAAAACACCATGTTATATAGCAGGTCTCATTTGTGACTGCTTCTAAAATTTGCAGATAAGACCCCAAATAATCAAAAGATTTGATTTATTAAAAAGAAAAAGTCTCTGGTGAAATCTCAAGAGTCCCTTCCACCCCAAGCATTTTTCTTCATTAAACAAGGAGTCAAAAAAACCCACTTCAAACTGTAAATTGAACAGCAATGGGAAAAATAAAAATTTTCATTCTTTTCCAATCTCATGTAATTTAACATAAACTCTAGTTTACTTAGACCAAATGCAGTAACAGCCTTTGTTGTATCCACATTTCAAAACATAGAACATTTGCAGGACACATAGAACATCATTTGTTTTTCTTCTCCATCATTTCTGTATGTTTTGGGGGTTTTTGTTTTGTTTTGTTTTTTAAAAAAAGATACAAACAATCTTCAAAGTTTACCTTTTCTTGGACTTAAGGCATAACATGAAATTGCGCATTATTCTAAAGCTTAACTTTGAAATGAACTAGTTTAGTGCTATCAAACCCTGTTTGCGTTTACATTATTTAAATTATATAGTATTTTATTTCTGTTTCTTGCTGTAAGTTCTAATGCTGTTCGTGGATTGTGCAATTCCTATGCAATCAGTCTTTGCCTGCTGTCAGTTATTAACAGTGCAGTGAAGAATCCAGATATTGAGCTTTCAGTTTCTCATTTATCATTTCAGTTCAATGCATGCTGCTTAATTGTGTGGAAGATCCAATCCATTTTCGTTGTCCAGCCACCATGATGTGCATCATTCATTTGTTTCATGAAATACTCCAAAGCCTCTTGTTCAGTTTTATCTAAGGCTAGGGTCTTTCGAATATATGCAATATCATCAAAAGATTGTAGTTCTGGCATTCCAGAGCCAAGCATCATTGAGAAAAGATTTATGAAGAGATTAGCATGCTGCCGAATAGCTAGATATGCCTTGTAACACATCTCCTGAAACCTATAAGTAGCAAGAACAGTTTGGTCAGTGTGGAGCAAATGGCATTGACACCTTCAGGTCTCTGCTTGAATGTCACATAATATAGAGGCTTATTTGAACAAAGCTACAAAAAAGGTAGCACTACTCTCCCCATTTCCCTAGCCAACACTTTCCTATGTCCTTTACTTCACCAGAAATCAAGTTCCATTAAAAACCTTTTGTTTATTGCTTTCTCACAATGGCTTGGTCCACATTAAAGCCTTTAGGGCTTCAACTACAGTCAGAAGGCTGAGTTGTAAGACAGAACAGAATTTTATAAAAATGCTTGTAAGGTAGTAAGAAAAATTATGAATAAGCATGGTAATTATAGTTGGTTGCCTTTAAGTTAAGTGATTTTAAAAAATGCTGTTTTAAGCACTATACATGTGATTTGCCAAGATACAGAAAGCAGAATCTATCTAAAGAACAGTAAATAAAAAACTTCAATGTGTTAAGTTTAAGAACTACTTTTTAAGGCCATAATTATAACTCAGAATTAGTTTTTATGTCCATTTTCCTTAAAATAGTTATGACTAAAAACACTAAAACATTGTTTTTTCTAAATAACATCTATTATTTTAAACTGCTTGAAAAATATTAATTGTTTCTGACATTACAGCAAGAATTTTTTGTTTGTTTTGGTACTGGGGATTGAACTCAGGACGCTGCCCTCGCAAGACAGGTGGAGGAACCACTGAGCTAAATGCCCCGCCCTACAGCAAAAATTCTTTATTCTGTATTTTGATTTCTTGAGCTTACCTTTCAAATTCTCTGGTCTTTGTACATTCTTGTGCCCCTTTACTTATCACTATTAAGAAGTCTTGTGTCAAAACAAATGGCACACGTTCTCGTTTATAACCAAATTTTTTCTTCTTGTGATCCAAAAAGTGTCCAAAATCTATATGAAATAGCTTTTAAAGATAAGAAATTATGTTATAGCTAGATAATGCAGACATAAAATACCATGAATTAATAAATTTAGGAACACCAGAACATTTAAAAAAAAAAAAGCCATTACTTGTCCATCATCTTTTACCATGATGTTACTATTGTGACGGTCTCCAATTCCCAAAATGAAGGTAGCCACACAATATCCAGCACATGAACGTGTAAAGAGGTCAATGGCTGCATCGTAGCTACAGTGAAGAAATAAACACCTCATCAGTAGTGTGGAAATACAGAGTGATCTAGGCCAAATTGGGAAAAGATGGTTGAAGTTTCAATTAAAATAATGAAAACAGTTACAACAGGGAAGGAAGTAATTATGCCCAAGAATTTTGAGATTCTTAGGTTTTCAAGGGTTTCTAAGGAAATTTCTAGATATTCCTTGATCAAAGCACTATTCTTATAGTGGAAAAATACTTTGATCATTAAAATTAATATTTTTTTCACTTGGGTATGGTGTTGCACACCTGTAATCCCAGTACTCTCAGAAGCTGAGGCAGGAAGATCTCAAGTTGAAGCCCAGCTTGGGCAAATTAGTAACTTAGCAAGATCTTATTTCAAAATAAAAATGGGCTGAGATGTAACTCACTGGGAAGGTCCTGGGTTCCATCTCCAGTAGTTCAAAGAAATCTAATCGTTTTACTAATGAATTAAAAATAAAAGTTTGAATGTCAATTTTTTAAAAAAATAAGCTATAAGAACATTTTAGGTAAGTTTAATGAACATAATTTTATCAAATTTAAGCAATTTTGATCATTTAAATAACCACAAACATTTCAAAAGTTGAGCATATTTTTTCCAAAGTGAGTACAATGATCTTTTCTGGTTTAAGTTAGAGGGATGTACTCAACCTTAATCTGATTCATCTAGCCAAGTTTATAGGAAGAAAGACTAACAAACTCACATTTCTCCTTTGTTCTTGTCTTTCAGCCACTGATGCAGTGTGTGGCTATTGAACTGCAGGGCACCTTTCAGGCCCCCTTTGCACTGAATTTGCATGATAGTGTGAGAATTTCTCACCACCTCAATAAGACCCACACAATCACCAAGTGAGAGACAACCGTAAGGCAGCATTCTGAAAAAAGGAGCAACACATTTACTGTGGTGGAATTTTATAACACTAAATATTTTAACAGGCCAAAATATGAATATTCTATTTGTAAATTTGTTATGTTTGACCTTTACTGTGTTAAGCTAATTTTCTTTTCTATAATGTGACAAACATATCCTTAGAAAAATCCCCAAAATTATCTACCATTGATTATTATAACTTTCAACTGTATGTCTGAAAAGCATTAAGAAAATTACAGTAATAAAAAATATAAACATATTATGACTAAACATATAGGTGAATTTAGAGACATTTAATTGACATCTATATAAAAAACTAGGGTAGTAGTTCTTACATTTTTAGTCTCAGGACTTTTATGAAAATTACTGAGGATCCCAAAAAAAAGCTTTATTTATAAAGGTTACATCTATTGATATTAGAAATTAAAGAAAATAACGATGAACCATTTAATGCATTTAAAAGACACCACTGTATGCTAAAATAAGTAGCATCTTTTATGAAACAAAAATCTGTATTTCAAGCCATTTAGTGAGAATGACTTTCAGTTTTCCAAAACTTTCTACTGCCTAGTTTTACAGGCAGCTGGATTTTTATATATGCTTTTGTAACCAATCTATTTTTTCATTTTACCACAATAAAAAGTCACAACTGTTTATTTTAGCATCAGTTTCATCAGAAAAGTCTTTACATCTTAAGTTCAGTGAAAAATACAGGTCTTTTCAAAATTCTAATTTTTGCTGGAAAGCTCAAATTTTATTATTGGCAACAAGTACTGTCACAGTTGTTTTATTTGAAAAGACTGGGTTCTTTTCAAGAAACTGTCTGCCAAATACCCATGTGTGATTAATATAGCTTGTCTGTTATGATTTATTAAAATAAAAATGGTATTCCATTAAAAAAGCAGCTAGTTTTGCTTTTTTAAATGCTTTTCTTCAATATAACCATCATATTGTAGGATATAGCAGAAGTGCTTTTTAGGGTACTTCCTATTTTATTACATCAAATATTAAATTTAAAGAATTAAAGCCGGGCACGCCTGTAATCCCAGCACTCAGGAGGCTGGGGCAGGAGGATCACTGTGAGTTCCAGACCAGCTTGGGCTACACAGTGAGTTTCAGGTCAGTCTCAACTACATAGTGAGACCCTGTCTCAAAAAAACAAAACAAAACAAACAAGAAGAATTAAATAGTACATGTAGTCAAGGATAGACATGAAGACTTATACAACAATAAAAACAGGGATAAAAATTGCACAGAAGTACTCAAAATACGATTCTTCTTCCTTTGTGGTTCTTTTGTTATTGTCCATTTTTTCTACCTTTCTTTTACTTACATTCCTAAAAGAGTATATATTTATTTTCATTTTCTCTTTAATTTCCTATAGCCTACCTTCTACGTCTACTATTATACTGGAAACTCTTTTCAAAGCTAATTATGAATCATTACAGCTCTTACTTTCTGAAGCCTTCTGGGGCACCTGGCATTATAAACTGTTTGTGAATCTCTCCCGTTACTCTCCCACTTATTCGCCTCTTAGCCCTTTGACTATTTTTGTGACAGAAGTTTTTCCTGATCTGCTCTGGGAATTACAGACATTTCTTAAGGTTACATTCCAGCTCATTTTCTCTTATTTCATCTTTTTATTTTACTCCTGTTGAGCATGCTCATAAAGAGTCATTTTTCTACAAATTGTATCTAAAAAAGCAAGCAGTTATAATTAACTTGTATTTGCATTACATTTTTGCCAGGGATAAATAAAAATGCTGATATAATTTTATTGAAATTAAGTGCTTTTTACTCAAACTGAAACTAAATCTACTTAAAATATTGTAAGATTGATACATCCAATGAGCTTCCTTGTATATATTTTTGTTGTTGTTGTGCAGTCTCTAATTTACAATTTAAAAAATATTGCAATTACCAGAGGTATTTAGTTAATTCCATTACTCTTTCTAGTTCTGAAATCTATTTTACATGCTGCTACTCTGGAAGTGGTGGTGCTGGTGGGATATGGATCTTTCAAAACACAGAAAGTACTACTACAAAAAAAGCAAACACTATCTTTGCAAAGCAGCAGAAATGAAGCAATGACTCAGGAGTTAAGAATTTGAAAATGATGACTTCATTTTGTGCCCTTTGTTACTCGAAATATCCATTTTCTTTGTAGTAAAAGGGTACTACCTTATGTGTCACGGAATCTTTTTAATATACTCAATATTCTTAACCTTTTATAAGGCATACAGGTAAGAATGTGTCTGGTATCACTTGCTATTTCTACCTAACTTTACCTTCTTGGTGAAGGTGGACTTCACTCATGCCCACTTACAGACAGAAGTATTTTCAGAGAGGACTTATGGGTTTCAAAGAGATAAGTCAGAGATGGAAAAACTGTTAGAAGTGGTAACTACCTAAAGATGAAGCCTAACAGAAAATCTGGGAGATATAATGATTACTGTAGAAAGCTGGACAGAGACCAGCAAACTGATATTTTAGTTGGTTTCATAAATTTTGCTGCAAGACTGATTCAAGATTAGAGGACTGATAAAGCTTCAGAATCAGAAAGTCTCTGTTACAAGACTTGATTTTAAACTCTTCTGAATAAAATCAGGGCTTTGTGACACTGAAAAAAAGTGTCTCCTGTGTCCTTTTCTTAATGGTGACACTCCAGAGGCAACTGCAGAGTCTTTCCTAGTGGATTAGAGACACTTCTCACTCAGTTCAAATCTCATTAGCTATTCCAAGCCAAGGGAACAAATGAAAGGTCTCATTTTGTAATCAACTGTTAATTACTACAACATAATATTTCTTTATAGATCCATACCTCTATAATTAATATTTATTAATAGTTTTATTTCAGTATAACTGCCCACATACAGGTTGCTTTATTGATTACCTACCGAAGATCAAGACCTTGATTTTGCCAGATATTTTCCATAATACGAATAATTTGAAGTGTTAGCATATCTTGGCGTAAATCTGAAATTCAAATAATATGTATCAGCACCTAACACCATAAATACAAACAAGGGGATCAAGCCATCACATTTTCAAATAGGAAAGAATCAGAGCTATATTTACTCTTCAAAATAATATATGACAACAACATTTTGATTCTTTAACTCACTTCTAAAGTGTCGGCAAAACTTATGTGTGTAAAAAATGAGTACATACTTCATAAAAATGTTAGGCATACTTAAAGTATTTATTTTGCTAAATCTTTAAATTTGAACATATTTATGTTAAAGTACTGGGATCAATAGAATTCACTGCCGAGTTGCAATTTCCTAATGGAAAGCCACTGGTAATCTTTATACTCCAAAAGCCTATGCTCCACATAAATTAGAACTTTTTTTATATGCTTTCTTAGCAGACTATACTTTTTTCTTTGTACCATGAACATAATTTTTATTTTTATTTTTCCCCCATTAAGTTTATTGGTACATTTAAAACAAACAATACAGTTACATTTATCACTGGGATCTTGTACCTTTACATGATAAGTCTTGGTTCTTATTTTTTCCCCATACCTTTACCCTCCCTTTACCCCCTTCACCTTTCCCTATTTACAAAGACTCTATTTCCATTTTTCTTTTTCCTTATTTCCTTTCCCCTCCCCTTCCCACTTCCCCTTTAGCCATTTTCTTACTATTTCACACTATCAATTAAGCCATTTGAACCTTATTTACTTTTAGTTTTTCACCCCAGAGAAACCATTTGGTATTTACTCAAGTGTGTCCTATTTATTTCACTTAAGAGTATAGCCCATCCATTTAGATATAAATGTCTCTAGTTTCTCATTCTTTATGGATGAGTAGTGCTCCATTTTATAGAAAAACCACATCTTCTTTATCCATTTTCTAGCTGATGGCCATTTGGGTTATTTCCAAGTTTTATCTATTACAAACTATGCTGCTATAAGCATGGGTGCGCATATATCACTGTGGTATGATTCTTTTAATTCTTTTGAAAAGATACCCAGCAGAGGGATAGCTGGGTCAAATGGAACCTCTAATCCTAGTTCTTTGAGATATCTCCATATTGATTTCCACAGTCATTGCACCAGTCTGCACTCCCACCAATGATGGAGAAGGGTTCCTTTCTCCCTCTAGCCCCGTTTATTTTTTAAATTATTTGTTCAATGTCCTTCTTTTCCCTATTAGAATGTAAGCTCCAAGAGAGCAGGGATTCTGTTTTGTTTATTGCTATAACCCAGGGCCTAGCACACAGAATATTTAAAGAGTGACTGGATACACTACTCATGTAAATGATAGTTAAGCAAATACCAGAAACTAATTTTAGGACTTTTGATTCAAGAGTTCAGGAAATGCCACCTCAACCAGTGAAGACCAACTGATGGTTGCACAAGGCCTAAAAAGACTAATCACTTTTCTGAGGGCTGCTGTGAGATGGCTTTTTTATTGTGAGAGATTTTTTAAAAACTGCAAAGCAAGACAACCTTTATTCATCCTATCTTTGCTCCTCTAATCTTCCCATAACTTCATCCTTCAAAACCTCCAAATCCTTATTCTGCTACATAACATTCAACCATTGGACCTTTCTTCGAGCATCATACTTTGTGAGACTTCCATGCATACGCATGTAATTAAATACAGGTGTTCCTTCCTGTTAGTCTATCTTAGGTCCCTTTAGTTTGTAGCTAAGCCAGGAACCTAGAAGAGTGGAGGGAAGACTTTTTTTTTTGTTTCCCTACACACGCATAATCAGTGAAAAGAAACAAAGCTAAGGTTAAGAATTGTTAGGAGTCAAACCTCCAGTTGATCTTTCCTGGTTGAGAAGGTTCATGACATTTGAGATCCACCTTTAGGCAGATGAGGAGACATGAAAGAAAACCTGCCTACTCGCTGTTCTCCAAGTGTTCTAAAGTTCAAAGTCATCAGCAAACCAAAATTTCATATTTTGAGGTCACATTTCCTGAATTTCTTCATATGAGTATTGTAAAGGTTAAGACATCTACTTAATAGTCTGCATTTTATCAAATGTGTATTCCTTAAATGGTTTTCAAGGTTCATAAATATCCTGTGTATAAAAAGATAACTAAATTCATACAACATAAGCTCATTAATACTCTTCCTTACCATCCCCATTTTTAAAGATGATCTCATTGTTCTGAAACAGTAACTCTGACATGATGTCTGGGTTCTCCCAATTCAACCACAGTGGCCTTTTTGCAGAAGACATAATTCGACACTCTTCAAGCCTTTAAAATAGTTTAAAAAAACTTTACTAGGCACCTCAGATGTTACTCTTTTTACCCTAAAAATTTACAAATTACAAATTTACGAATTTAACACTTTTAAACATGTTATAAAATTTAAAATATTAAAACATTTTTATTAGTGTTTGGAGCACATAACGGTACTCCAAAGTACCGCTGGTGGAGTCGTTGGAGGAGTTGGGGCATGTCCACAACACACCTTAATTCTTTTTATTTCCCCTTTTCCTCCCTTCTGTCTGCCTTTTGGTCTCCTTCCCCAAAAGATCTATTTTCCCATTTCTTATTATCTATGAAAAAAGTGGTATAAAATTTTTAAACTCAATTTTTATCTAAGAATTCAATTCTAAGGAATACTGTATAAATATTAAGCTTCAGCATCTTTATATAATCATGAATTTTCAAATAACATATATTATACTCCATTTCTTCATGACCTCAAGAATTTCAACCACTGAAGGTTGTAAACTTATAAAAGTAATAAAAATTCATTCTGAATAGATGTACTTCTAATTTAAGACCATTTTACTATTGCAATTTTGCACACTAGAATGGGAAAGGGAAGCGGAGAGAAATGAACTATCATATGGGACATTTTTATTTTTTTTAAGATTTTATCCAGAAAAGTACTTATTTAAATATATCAATAAAACTCCCGAGAAAGTATCTTACCTGAGATTTCCTAGTTGATGAGCAGGGTTTAGAGGAGACAGAAAGCCCTGTAGAGCATCCATGAAATCTGGTTGCCTCATTTGCTCAACTAAAAATTTCATCTGTACCTGATAAAAAAAGCATAATCAAAGTTAGAAACTGACGTAAGTAACTGCTAATCTCTTACACACCAAAAACTCAGTACTGTGTAGTCTGATCCATAGCTTGAACTAGCTACATTCTAAGGAGGTGGGTTTGTATGAGACAGAACAGCCTAACACAACGAGAAAGAGTCACAGTACTGCACCTTCCTGCGAGAAGATGAACTCTACTTGCTGACAGAAGCAAAGCTTTGACTCTAGAGCAGGGGTGGTGAACCCTGGTTTGCAGGTCAACTGCCAATTTTTATAAATCAAGTTGCACTAGAATACAACTATGCCCATTCATTACATACTGGCTGCTTTCACACTAGGATAGCAGAGTTGAACAGTTAAGACCACATGGCCTGGAAAATCGAAAGTATTTATATTTGGCCCTTTACTAAAGAGACCATGTTATCTTAGTTTAATATTTTTGCTTCTTGGCTTTGGAGAAAACATTATATTCATATTCTATGTTGGATAAAAACGGTCTAGTGAGGCTAAAAGCAGCTGTTGGGAAAATAACCTGTAAAAATATTTGCTATATGGATCCCATATATATATGTTGTTTGGAGCCACAAAGAAGTTTTTTGTTATTTTGAGACAGGGTCTCACTATGAAGTTCAAGCTGGCCTTGAACTCATGGCATTCCTCATGCCTCAGTCTCCCCAGTGCTGGAATTACAGGTGGCATGACGCCACCATGCATTGCAAAATATCCTTTTTTAAGAAACCAGAGACCAGATTGCTGAATTACCAAGCGGTACCTGACATTTTATCCCAGGAAACTTCGATCTTTTGAAAATACAAAAGTGCATATTAAAAAAGTTAGAAACTAGTGATACACAATAAATTAATTTTAGTGATGAAATTTTAGTAATAAAAATGTTTTTCTTCTCATTACATGTAAGTTAATAAGGAAATCTAGTCATCACTAACTATGCAGCTCTCAGCTTCACATACTTTATCATTATTATGATAAAACACAGAAGCATTCAAAATAACTGCCTGTTTCTGTAAATGCAATTTTATTGAGTTTTATTTTTTGGTACTAGGGGTCGAACTTGGAACCTTGTGCTTGTGAGGAAGGCAGGAGAACCACTGAGCTAAATCCCCGGCCCAGTAATTACAAGTTTAGGTCCTTACCACACTCTCACTTAAACCAATAATGACATGAGTAATGAATTTCATGTTTCTAATTAAGCCATTTTATCATAGCCAATTTGTGATATTAAAAACTAGCACAAAATATAGATCTGTTTACAAATACATCTAATCCCTAGTTTCTTTTTTTAGTTCAGTTACACTATAAACGTAATAAATTTTATTCTTTTGAAGCAGATTAGTGCCCTCCTGCCAATTCCAGCTTCGGCAATAGTACTTTTTTCCAGTATTCTACATTTGAATTTATTTACCATAAATTCAAAGAAACAAATTCAATCATATACTGTATGATATTAAGATTAATGGAATAATTTTCTTTTAGATAAGTACAGCAATTTTCTTTTAAAGTTGCTTTTTTCTTCCGGTGGTACGAATGAAGATGACGGAAAAATCCTTTTAGTGTAGGCAATTTCTGTTCTCTGCCCCTTTGAGTATTAATAAATTGGAATTTCTTCCCTCTCATTTCACCAGAGGTGAGAAATGATCTTACTTTTCAGTATAGAGTGTGTTAAATTTAGGGTATGGTAGATTAGACTGAATAAAGGACAGGGAGTAGGAAAAAGTCATGAAAAAATTTTACCTTTCATACTGTTTAGATGCAGATGATAAGAGTGCGTGATATATTTACTGAGTGACTATGAGTTCATTTAAAACTTAGAAATGTAAAAGCCCACCTCTTTCCACTCATTTTCAGGGTCATGACTAAAATACTAAATGAATGAATAAGGAAAGAATCGTTTTAAATATGTAAGAGCTACATAAAAAGAAAAAAGAAAAAGTACAAGGGCATATATTTATTGGGCACCTCTCACACTCTAGGGATTGTGCTAGGTACTTTACATAGTTTATATAATTTATTTTTCACAACAACTATGAGAAAAATATTCTCATTTCATAGGTGAGGAAAATGAACCTTTTGAGCAAAATAATATATCTGATATTACACAGCTGTAGTTGAATCCAGTGGAACTTGGGTCCAAATCTTAATTCGCCTGGATCCAAGAAACATAATTTGTACAGACACTGGGTTTCTAAACAACCCTGTCCCACTGCAATAAAAAGGATCTCAAAAACGAATTGATCAGCCACACACCTTTTGTGTCTCATCCTTCTTCTCCTGCTTGAGGATGTCAGTTAAGTTAATGAGTTTTTCCATAGCTTCAACTTGCCTATTCAGGTGCTTTAGGTACATCCCACAGGCACGGCAATAGGATTCCAGGAGCAGACCGAATCTTTGACTAACTGTTTTATTGTGCATCTCAGATCTAAAAGAACAGTACAAAAGATATATGCCTATATAAACATACATGTGTGTTTAGACAATATTTAAGAAAATGAGAAAATCCATTTTAAAAATTCAGTAAATGTTGCGACAATACCAAGAATACAATGATTTAAAACCCACCTTTTAGAAGAAAATAAGGTAGTTCTGAGACATGTAAATTTGACAAACAATTAATTTATTGTTTTATTCACCAATGTCAGTAAAAGGTACAAAAATATGAAAAAGTAAACTGGATGGGAAAATAATAAAATATATCAGGAGGGAGCAAAGAGCTTAATGAATAATCCCCAATATACATGGTGATACTCTACTATCTTTAAATTTATTTTAAATCTAGCTTCTAGGTCTCATTTTTTTATTTTTAACGTTAAAATTTAAAAAGTCCTATTAGACACAATCCATTTCTAAATTTATTAAAAAGCACATGGCTTATGACCTGTAACTGTATGAAATATACTACATTCTAGAAAATATTATTCTTAATTAGCTTGTTTTCTAGTAGGAAACAGGATTTTGCCATTATTGTTCTGTATTTCAAGGTTAGAATTTTATTTATATTGGATACTTTAAATCTAAAAATACAGAGACCTATATTTACATTAATTTGCACCTAGCAAATTTTTACTTAGCTTAAATTCAAATGAAATCTTTAAAAATATTCCTCTCAGCTCTCATTCATGTTTAAAATTTTCTTTTTGAGACAGGGTCTCAGTATGGAGCCCAGACTGGCCTCAGAAAGTTTGTTAATCCCCCGTCTTCATTCTCCCAAGTGCTGGGATTACAGGTATTAAAATTCAGTTCTGACTTTTACTTCCTATTTAATTTCAAAGAGAAAAAAACATAGGAGTTCATCACTGTACAATATGTTTTCTTTTTATTTGGTACCAGGGATCAAACTCAGGGCCTTGCACTTGTGAGGCAGGCAGCAGAACCACTGAGCTAAATCCCCAGCCCTAATATATTTTCAATATGGAAAACTATTTGGGCCAAACTAAAACCAAGTACCTAATACATATTTGTACATTTATTAAGAAAGCAAGTGATATATATTTAGAGAGAGAGAGAGAGAGAGAGAGAGAGAGAGAGAGAGAGAGAGAGAGAGAATCTACTGGGTGGAGATAACTTGACTTACTTTAAATGCCAAAAGAAAAAGTGTCCAATCCTTTGATTTGTTAATGCTTTCTTGAGTAAAAATCTCACAAGCAGGTTATCCAAGTATTGTTCATATTTTAGGACCTGGTTGAGCAAAACAACAAAAACTTAAAAGTTCATTTCTGTATGGCTGGATTTAAAGAAAAAATTTCAGAAATAAAGTAGGTACTATTGGCAATAAAATGGATTTTTTAAAAAAGCACACAACTACTGAAGTTAATAAAGTACATCTTGGAAATTACATATATTTGGAATAAAATATTATTTTCTATTTTACATTATTTTACCTGTACTAGCTGAATTAGGTACTGAGAAAGTTTGTCATCTGTCAAGTATTTTTCCAGGCATCGAACAGCAAAACCTCGAACCATAGGATCTGGGTAATTACAGTCCAGAAGCTCCATTGCCTGCTCAGGTTTGATTGGGGGCCAATCCTTTACTAAGCAGTACATCTGTGTATGAGAAGGAAAAAAAAAAAATCCTATTTACAATGCAAGAATAGTTGTGAATGAACACTCACTGACTTTTTACTTCTGATTTTAAAATTAATTTAGATTTTTTAAAAAGTCCTTAAAATTTACAGTCCTAATGAGTTTTATCTGTAGAAATGACATAAATGGTATTTTTCTCTACTGAATTGCCACAATTAACAGTCTATTTCATCTTTTCAATTTAGGCACATTTTCTGAGAGAAAACAGTTTGGAATCTGAACATGCATTTACCTGAGCTACTTCATCTCTAGAATTCCATTTAACGGACAAAAGCAATTTAGGTAGAATTTCAGGGATAGTTACACAATAGTGTCTGTTGGAAAAAACAAAAGAAAAAAATACTTCCATGTTATTCAAAAGGTCTAGATGTTTAACTCTTCATTTATGCATTAAGAAGCCCCAAAGTTATCATTAAAAGCCATTTTTAAAACAAAAAGGAATCAGTATTTAACAATATAGCTGTATATTTATCTACATATATAGAGTTAAGTATATATGGCAAATAAAACAAGTGCAGAATTCTTAAATTTAGTTGACAATTAAGAAAAATTATGAATATATATTATACCACTCTTCACACTGCTCAGATTGTTATGCACGTGGAACCACAGAGTCAGGATTTCTGCTGACGTTACCGAACAAATCATTTTTTAATGATTTTTAATGCAGAAATGTATTAAAACTGCTTCGTTAAATATATCTAAGTTAGTTACAAGTAGTGTGATAATTTTGCCAAAGTGAAAATAAGGCATTTCAGCTTTATTTTGAGGAAGTTTAAGAAAAAAAGAAAAATAAAGACCTCAGAAAATTTATTAGACCAACAAAATCATAATTGGTCTAGCATTACATGTTTTTTTTTCCTCTTGAATTTTATTTTGAAAGAGCCTAAGAAAGTCCTATCAGAATTTTTAAAAGCGTTCAGGGCTAAGGGTACAGTGAGTGAGTGATTAGCATGCCAAAGGCTTTAGAATTCAATCCCCAGTGCCAATAAAAACATGTGAAAAGTGGTGACAAGCCTGTAATCCCAGCACTTTTGGGAAGGTGAAGCAGGAAGATTGCAAGTTCAAGCCCAGCCTGGGGAACTGAGCTGACTCTTGTCTCAAAACAAAATATAAACTATAGCTGGCACTACAGCTCAGTCTGAAGGCCATGGGTTCAATCCCCCATAGTGGAGGGAAAATATTAAAAGCTTTCATTGTGTAAAATAAGTATCAACATAGCACACTGTTCTAGAAATATAAATCTATATCCATAGTTTTAAGAAAGTCAATAAAAATTATGTAAATTATATTTTATTTCCCATGCTAGGCATGGTAAAAATATGGCATGCTCAAAGTCAGTTCTTTTTCTATAATTAAAAAAAAATGGAACTCTCCATCTTAACACATACCTGTGGCTCCACAGAAAATCCTTCTCTTGCTCAGTAATTTCAGACAGAGGGTCTCGTGTACAAATTGCTCGGAGCTGTTCTTTGTCATTTTCTCTTAATTCATTGTCTCTAGCTAATCTGTTACTCTGTAAAATAAAGTAATATCTTACATGTGTTTTTTTTTTTTTAATTTTTTGGTATTGGGGATCAAACTTGGGGCCTTGCATTTGTGAGGTGGGCAGCAGAACCACTGAGCTAAATCCCTGGCCCTTACATGGGTTTCTTTGTCATTTATCTTCCCCTAGATTCATGAATGATCTACAAGAAAAAAAAATCAAATTAATTTTGAAAAACTTCACACTGCTTATTAACTGTTATAAAATATTCTCATTTTGGGCCAGGGATTTAGCTCAGTGGCATTGCGTCTACTTTGTAAGTGCAAGGTCCAGAGTTTGATCCCTGGTAACTGGAAAAAAAAAATTCATCTTAACACTTCATTTTTAGATAGGTAAGAACCAATTTAAGCACAAGATGTATGGAAAAAATTGGACCACTTACTTGCTTAATATTACTCCCAACCACAGTTAGAACAATAACTGCCAAAGTTGGGTCAGGGAGAAGGCCAGACTGGGACACTAGGGGATGGTAGTGAATCACTCTTCCTCTTGTGAGGTCCCTCCCTAGTATCCTATTAACTAACTTGCCAATATTTCTGGCACAAAAGAATGAGAAACAGTAAAGTAAAAAATAAAAACTTAAAATTTTATGTTCCTTGCTTAAATTCTACTTGTAACTGCTGTGAGGCTTTCAAATTTAAAAGTAAAAACAGGTTGGAGAAAAAAGGGAATGGAATACCCCATTAAAATACTGTACCATGAATACTATAAACAAACTAAAAAGAAAATGCAACATTCTATATAATTCCAAGTAATGTATTTAATTCCCTTTAAATATAGATACATTAACTGGAGAATGAATAGGTATGAATGCATATTAACATTACACAAAAAAATGCACTCAACCACTTCTTTTTTTTTTTTTTTGGTACTGGAGATTGAACTCATGACCTTGCACTTGTGAAGCAGGCAGCAGCATCACTGAACTAAATCCCCGGCCCCTACTCAGCCATTTCTAAAACTAAAAATGAAAACAGATAGCCATGCTACTTGGTTTTTATATATTTACACATTGCTAATTTATTCCAAGATATGAAGAAATACTACTTGCACATATTTACTAGATACTGATGAAATATACACTGCTTTCCTTATTCTAGACTGCTATTGGAATTACAAAACAGTAAAAGACTCCACACTAACACAACTTCCATTCTATAGGGAAATCAAATAAATAAGAAAAGTATTAGATACTCTTTGAGACGATAATATTTAATTTGTGATTCAAATGACAGGGAGCCATCCATACTATGATCATGGAAAAACCAATACAGATGGAGGAAACACTGTAAAGGCCCCAAGAAAAGAACAAGTTTGTTTTAATGGAGGAAAAGGAAGAAAGCCTTATGTCTAGTAGATGAGGGAAGGGAGATACAAGGGAAGAAGGTGAAGTTAACAACATGTAAAGTTTGTAGTGAGGTTAAAAAGTTTCGATTTTATTTGTAGCAAGAGCTATTTAAAAGATAAATTTGATTTGTGTTTCTGAAAGACTATTCTGGCTACTGAGTAGAAGAAGGAAGACCGGTTGAGAGGCTACTCCAATAGTCCAGGCAAGAGATAATAAATGTTTAATCCCTACTTTACTAGGAAAAGTAGCCATTATTGTTTGTCATCTGGGTCCAAAGGACTGTACTATTATCTACTTATTTTCGCTTATAGTTTTAATAAAAAATAATTTATGGAAGGATAAAGTTCTGATGAAATACAATTTTGTTAGATATTTTAAAAGAATCAGGATATAGTAAAACCAAATTTTATCCCTATTTTCCTTGTTTTGAAATATTTCTCTGTCAAACTAAACTACACTGTCAAAATGGAACACACAAAAAAGGAACATTTCTGAAAACTATTAGCTCATTACTTTTTTTCCCCACATTTAATGGGTTTTATTTTGGCAGATTTGTACATATACATATCATACTTTAATTATTTCACCACCAGCACTTTTGCTTCACCCCTTAGTTTCACGTTTTGGGAATGTGTCAATATATAGAATGTATTTTGATCATATTCATCCCCTTATGACTTGTCCTGATGGCTTATAATTTTTAAGATGGGCCAATCTTCTTTACTCAGTAATTGCAAACCATTTGTTTTTAATACATATAAATATCAACCAGAAAAAAAACCAACCAGAATGATTAATCCAAAGAGTTTTAAAATTTTCTACATTACTCTTTTCATTCCAGTCACTTTTTGTATACACTTGACTTCTGTATTTACCCATTTAGAAAGTGTATCAAGTAAATATTAGTGTATAACATCACGAAAGATGGGAAAGAACACTGTAAAACAAAAGATTGTTCAACTTGTCATAAAATCTTGAGTAAATCACTTCCGTTGAATGACTAATTAATTGAATGTGACTATCAAATTTCTTATCTATCCTTAGACATGTATTGTTTATTATCATTAGTCTGAAAAATTCATATAGGACAGTGTCATTTGTTATTTCATTTATATGATAAATGTCACCATCATCATTAGAGTACGGAGCAGCAGTTCTCAGCTGGGGTGATTTTCCCTTTTAGATCCTATGGACCCTGGTAATGTCTGGAGACATTTTCATGTGCGCCATTTTTATTTTTTGGTACTGGGGATCGAACTTGGGCCCTTGCACTTGCGAGACAGGCAGAAGAATCACTGAGCCAAATCCCAGGCCCTTGGAAACATTTTTAATTGGCAAAACTTGGTGTGGTGGTACTCCTGGTATCTAGCAGGGTAGAAACTGGGGATCCTGCTAAACATCCTGCAATGCACTGGATATCCCCTACAATAAACAATTATTTGGCCTAAAATGCAGGGTAAAGATGGAGAAACACTGCTTTAGTCTTATTATTAGAGTCTTAATTATCCATCTCTGAATTCCTACTATGATTTGTGTAGTAAATGTAAAATATCTTTCTCTGGGGCTGGGGATTTAGCTCAGTGGCACCGTGCCTGCCTCACAAGCACAAGGTCCTAAGTTCAATCCCAGGTACTGTCAGAAAAAAACAAAACAAAACAAAACTTTCTCTATAATTTGCTTCTTTTTTATTATGGATAGAAAGTGAAAAATTCAGCCCACTGATAGCCTAAAAACCAAAAAAACCTATGAAGATGATGTTGCAGATTGCTTTTATATCACAAGACACCAGGCATTACAATAAGAAAACTGAACAATTATGTAATAGTGATGATTTATTTCACTGTTGTATTATTCTTCTAGACTATTATGTACTTCTCCATCTTCATTATTATTAACTTTTTTAAGAGCATAATCGGAAGTAATTAGTGAATAAGGATAAAACATTTTTGGCATGATGTAAAAGAAAATGTTTTATGATATAGGAAAACTATAGAGATCATAATGTATTCTAGATTCTTAAAAGTTTCCTACAGGCCCAAAAATAATTATAAAAATAATTTTTCTTTGAAAAATTCTTCTAAGAACAAAAGTCATAAATTATCAAACCTTTAGAAGAGCTATAATTACTGAAAAAAGAAACTCAGATCCTTTAAACTCCATATGCAGGAAAATATATTATTCAGTTTACAAAAGCATTAGTAAATTCCTTACTGAGTTATAAACTAAAAAAGTTCCTCAGTGCAGTATTCTAGGGTGTCTCTTGATGCTGTAGTTACTTGAATGGGCTAGGCATATTTCAGGACTGCTTGGCCCAACATTCTTTGGCTGGTCTATCTTAAAACTACAACCAGGCCAAAGAAAAAATGACAAATTTGTAAACTGAAGAGACACCAAAGAACAAAAATATTTTCTCTTAGAGCTGATACTTTGTCCTTGAGAAATACCGAAAAACTAATAGTCTTTGAACCCAGTTATGTTGTAGTTCCAAACTTATGGGGAAGATTAGACAACTAGATCAATATTTAAGCTTTATTTTAAATGCATTCTTGGACTCAAGGGTAGATAGGTATTTGAGAGGTAGGTGGTAGTGGTAGTGGCAGTGGCGGTGGCAGTAGCAGGAGCAGTAGCAGTGGCAGTTGTGAGGGGGTTCTAGGAAGATGGTGGTGATTAAATAATTCCGTGTGGTTTTGCCATGTTCTGTTCAGGAGTATCAGGTTGGACAGCTTTACTCTGTCACAGAGGCTAGTAAGAATGAAACTGGTAGTGGTGAAGGAATTGAAGTCTTAAAGAATGAACCTTATGAGAGAAGGATGGAGAAAAGGGACAACTTACACACAAAATTTATCACCTAAAGATCAAAGGATGATTGCTCCTGAAGGCACCTTGGTATTTCATGAGAAAGCCTGGAATTCGTATCCCTACTGTAGAACAATTGCAACAAAGGAATATATGAAAGATGACTTCTTCATTAAAATAGAAACATGGCACAAACCAGATTTGTGAATATTAGAAAATGTTCATGATTTGGATCCAAAATGTGGCAAACTGTTGAAGTTATTCATATAGATATTGCAGACTGAAGTCAAGCTGAACCTGGAGACGACAAAGCTAATGAAGACCCAGCATTATTCCAGTCAGTCAAGATCAAGAGAGGCCCTCTGGGACCCAACTGCAAGATGGAACTGGCAAATAATCCTGACTGTCCTCAAATGTGTGCATATAAGCTGGTGACCATCAAATTCAAGTGGTGGGGGATGCAAAATAAAGTAGAAAACTTCATCCAGAAGCAAGAAAAAAAGGTACTTATAAACTTTCATCACCAGCTTTTTTGTTGGATTGACAAGTGGATTGATCTGACAATGGAAGACATTAGGAGAATGGAAGATGAAGCAGGGTTCTGTCCGAGGCACTTCAGCTACTGATGACTAGATGAGTCTCCTGTAGTGTCAGAGACGATATCACACTGTTTACGTAATCAAGCTCAAGTGAGGGGAACCAGTGCAGCCAGCGACAAGTGAAGAATCTGACCAGTATCTTGCAGTGTTGATGTTTCCAACGTGTGCTTGTGATGACATACACACATGCATAGGTTCCCAGCTGCATGTGTGCGTGTGTGTGTGTATGTGTGTGTTTGTAGTTGTATGTAGAAGGCATACAGAGCTACAGATCCAGATACACACGTGTGTGTATATATGTACATACAAACAGACTGAAGGGATTAGTACAACTTCTCCAAAGTACTGTACTGATCTTGGGCAAGAATGACAAAGAAAATATTTTCCATACGTATACCTGGAACAGATTTTAATAATTATCAGAGTAATACCATTATTGGACGAATTGACTGCAATGTGATATGAGCTGGTATATTTCACAAATGTCAAGTTGTGGAGATATATCATTTTGTTATTCTTCTGTTCTTTTAAATAAGTCTCTTACAAATTGTTATTTTAGTCCCATAAGCAATAGACTCCCACAGAAAGACTTCTTCAAAATTTTTTGGTATTCCAATGAATCTGCGATGTAAATTCTCTATTTATAGCTATTTATTTCTGGATGGTCACTATCTTCCAGCCAAATTTGACAATATCTGTTAAGAGTAAAGTTACAGGCCAGTTTTTACTCCTTTGCCCTAAGGGAAAAATCCTTTTAGAAAGTTTTCTGATTTTTTATTGGGTTTTTGTATTTTAAATTTCAAGCATTTTTCTACATCAAATCTAGCAAAAATGGAGAAGACAGTTTGTGATTTATAATAAACACTAGAAAATTTCCAGGCTTTTGTTAAAGAAATCGACAAAGATGTTAATCTTAAAAGTATTGCAGGATAGGGGCCGGGGATTTAGCTCAGTGGTTCGATGGCCTGCCTTGCAAGAGCAAGGACCCGAGTTTGATCCCCCGTACCAAAAAAAAAGTATTGTAGGCCATGTGGGAAAAATGGAAGTATAGCATTTCAGCAGTGATATTTTCTAAAATTACAGCACTGAAACTATGCAAATGGTCTCGATGCCTAATAGCTTACAGGATAGGATGTAGTGGTGACATTTTGTTCTTTTCATGTTGCATTACACATCAAGGGAGGATGCTGACTCTGAGCTGGGAACAGAGTAAGATGCATAGTGTAGGAGGCCCTACCAAGGGGCCAGTGGCTTTCTAACTTCTGTATGTGCTCTTCAGTAGGATGTCAAAGAATTCACCTTGCATAGGTGTCAGGAAAATGCTCATTAGAAGTTGCTGTCACTCCCCCTACCCCCTTTTTAAAGAAGGAACAATAGCTAGGTAAGATTTTTATCAGCTTTCTCTGTCTGAATGCAATTTTCTCCTGTCAGTCCCAGAAGCTTGAGTAGAATATTGTTGAAGTCTTCAGGTCACAAACTGTCTTCAACCTCCCATCCCTTCTAAAACGTGCCAAACCCTGCAATCTAATCACATCAGTAATCAGATTTGCTGATAGTCCTGCCCTCCTTGCTCATTTTCCCACATGTCCTGTGCCCCCACTGAAGAGATAGCAGCGAATGGGACAGTGATGTTTAGGATCACAGCTGTGTTGTGATATGGTGTTATCCACAGCAACAAATCCCACATTTCCTGAGTCCTCTGTGTACTCAGGATAAAGACTAATGTTTACTCTCGGGGCACTGTTGTAAGGTAGGCTTGTCAAAGCTTAGTCCTTTTGCAAAGTGTTTGGTGCAACAAAGATCATTGCTAATTTGTGGATTAAAGAGTGTAGCCCTCTCCTTTTAATGAACCTAACTCTCACTGGCATTTGTAGTCTCATTGGGAGCTCGGGCACACATGGAAATGAGAGCCCAACACACAGATTTTAATGTTTTTCTAACCACTGTGGAGATTTGAGGGGATGTGTGGTGAATATAAAATACCTAGTTGACTTGGCAGTCACTCGTGTGAATTACGGTAAAAACAAAGTAAATGAAATTTAAACAAAAAATAAATTTGATCACAAAATGTCCAAAACAAACAAACAAAAAATGCATTCTTGTTTGGAGGCCCAGGACTAATATGGTGAAGAAATGCTATTTCTTTTACTGCAAAGCTCAATATACAATGCATTTATACATCAGTCTCAACTTCAAGATTAACATCACAGGGAGGTCTTGCCAGGACCCAATCATGTATTAGCGTACCCCCTGCAACCCACCCTCAACTTTCAGTTAGTTTTTTTTTTTTAATAGCACTATTACTTCCTTCATGGCACTTTCCATGATTTACAATCTTGTATTTCTTCTTGTATCTGTCTTATGTCTGCTTTCATCATTAGACTGGATAGTCAGTGGAGATCTGTTTACTTCACAATTTCATTACCTAGTGCTTATGATAGTGCTTTACATACAGTTGGCATTCAATAAATATCTGTTAAATGAATGAAGGCAGGCTGGGGCTCCAAATAAAGCAAGAAGAAAGAGCTGCAGGAAAAATATTAGCACATAGAGAATTTTATCCAACATCTCTGGAGCTTAATAGTACTTATGCTAGTATAACTAAAATACACAAAACCTTGTCCATATAGATTATGACTGATACTTTAGAAACTCAATAAGTTTCCTTACCAGTCCTGCATGTGAGTAGCTAAATCCTGCTTCTCGGGATACGGACCAATTTGCATGCTCTTCAATCACTGACATATCTGGAAACTTTACCACACTGCTGAACCAATCAAACTCCAACTCTAGGCATGGAGTTTCCTAAGAGATAGAAGAAAAATTAATATTTATGTTGTAGCTGACTGTCATTTAAAAAAGTAATTTATGAAAATAAAAAGCTTACTTTATTTGGATTTGACCCGGTAACACCAATAGGGTTCAGTAAGTCTTCTAATCCATGAGGTACTGGCCAAAGATTCAAAGCCATTTTTCCAGATACTAGGGTGTCTGTGTAATCAAACAAGTTTATATTTCCCCAGGCCAATGGACAATGCTCCTTAAAAAGCAAAGAAAAATATTCACTAATCTAGGGATTAAGTTATAAAATGCATTTCAAAATACGTTTCTTTCCTGGAAAGGAGAACGCAACAACTGTTTCTATAACAACTAGAATATGAAATCTACCAAAAGCTCTATTAAGATTTAAGCACTTCCTTTCCTTTTTCCCATTTGAAATGACATACATTTTCTTTAATTATAAATAGGAAACAAAGGAGGCATGATACATATTTGCATGCAATCACTGTTATGCAGTCATTATGCATATTTATAAAATCTATCAGTATGAATTTGGGACATACCACTCATAGATTTCTGAAGTTCTTCCAAGGTAGATTTCTGTAATATTTTTACTTACTAAAACTTGTAATAGGTCTGACCTATTATCTGTGAGAAAATTCAATCAGAGGTGATTTGAGAGGTAATAATAATTGTTTCCCCTGAATACTTTACCTCTTTAGCACCCTTTCGGCCTTTAACAGAGCAAATGGAAAGGCAAAGTCGAGCAGCACGAGGAAGATCGGGAATGTATATATCATAATTCAGCCATTCATTCCACCTACGCAAAATTGTAAAGAGAAAAAAAAAGGCATTTACCAAAAAAAGAGGGAAAGGGGCTTTGTTCAGAGTGGGAAAAATGACTTCCACAAATTATCACAAATGAAAAACAGGCATGTAATTAACTGGATCGGGCACTTTCTGAGATCATATTGAAATGCCCAATAAATATGAAAAACTAGTTTGCTATTTTCATGCAGAAAATGAAAATAAAAATCTCATGTAGATGCTACTATACACAAGAATGGTTGAAACTAGGAAGACTGTTGATACTAAGAGTGGTAAGAATATTTTGTAGTAATACCGAATCTCATATTCTAAAAGTGGGGGTATAATTTGCAACAATCAAATCAGAAAGCACAATCTACAAAAGTGAATGTATGTAAATCTTATGAGTCAACTTCACTTTCAGAAAAAAAGCACAGAAATGTGTACATTTGTGTACAGAATGCTAATGGACAAATTATTTATAATATCCTCAAACTATAGTCAAATGTCCAAGAGTACAACAGATAAATTGTAGTGTGTGTGTGTGTGTGTGTGTGTGTGTAGAATGGAGTATTACACAGCAATAAAAACAAACAAGTCACTAACGTAATGGATGAAATCCTACAGACATATTCAGTAAAATAATCTGGACATAAAAAGTGCCTATTCTCTGAGTCAATTTATATAAAATTCAAAATACGGAATATGAACCCAGAAGTCAGGACAGTGGCTTCCTTTAGGGAGAAGAGAAGGTTACTAGATTGGGAATGGGCACAAGGACAGGCTTTTAAAGGCTGGTGAATGTCCTATTTCTTGACTGGTATAGGTTGCTACATGAATATTTACTTTGTAATAATTCACTGAACTGTACAATTATGATTCATACACTTTCATACATGCTTATGTGCTATACTTCACTAAACCAAAGAACCAAAAGTTTTGCTCATAAAAAGTCAAATAGAAAAGGAAAATTATACAAGATAAAATGTAATGATCTTAATTGGATTACAGTTACATTACTTTAACGTAGCTTTATTCAGAATAATTCACTAATCCAAATAAATCTGAAAATAAAAGATATATAAGGAGAATGTACTTGAATTTTAAAATAACTAGTTCACAAGAAGTAACAAAACAAAACAGGAAAAAATAAAATATTACTATAAAAAGTAATATGATTAAAATTATTTAAAATTTTATGATAAATGTCCTCAATTTATAGGATGCTACATACAAAATTGAGCCTATATTTAGTGGACATGTTCATAAAGAGTTATGTATCGTAAATAGCTTTTTCCTCTCAACATTATAAAACAGTATTTAAGACGACTGATTGGAACAGAATCTTTCCATTATTTCACTAAATGTATTGTTTTATATTGTTTTTTACCTCCCTTGTGAAGTGAGACTGATAATACTACCTACCCTGAGGAGGTTGTTTCTATCTCATAAGATTAAATGATCTAAGTAAAGTGATTAAAATAACACCCTGAACAACAGTAGAAGTTCAAGTGTTAGATACTAACTTTGCAAATTTCTCAAGTGGCTTGTGATGGTTAAGCTTAACTGTCAAGTTGATGGGCTTGGGAGCGACCTAGGGGATTATTAGTAATGCATACTTCTGGTGTGTGTGGATGCATCAGTGAAGTACAAACTTGGGTATGATATCTAGTCCCTGACCTGGCCTGGCCTGGTTCCCCTGCTCTGCTTTCGACTAGCGTGATCTGAGCAGCTCTGCTATGCCGTGTCTTTTCGTCACGGTGCTGCCTTGAAGCCAGGTGACCCTGGACTGAATCTTCTGAAACCATGAGTCAAGTAAGACTCTCCTCCTTTAAGTTGTGTCAGGTATTTTGTCCAGCAAAGAGAATGCCAAATAATACATGGCATCTTTATAATTTTAGTCTATTCTTAGAGTATATATAAAACAAGTTTTAGGGCATAAATAATTATTAGTAGGAAACTCTATTTTTGATTAGCCAAACTAATGTATAAATTTTTTAAGTTCTATTAGTTCTCTTGCTTGAACATGAACAAAGACTGAAAAATATCTATTTATATAAAACAGACTTACATTTTTTGTTTGTTTGTTTTGAGACAGGGTCTCACTATGTAGTCGAGACTGAGCTGGAACTCACTATGTAGCCCACGCTGGTCTCCAACTCACAGCGACCCTCCTGCCTCAGCCTCCCGAGTGCTGGGATTACAGGCGTGCGCCACCATGTCCAGCAAAAAAGACTTATATTTAAAGTGGGAGAGTTTGGCAAGAATTCTAAAGGCAAAAAAAATACTATTACAGAAATCTAGGAGGAAGAAATATTGTGGGACTTAGTAGGCCTGCAGTTGTTAAAAAAAATTAAAAGTATACCTACTTAAATTTATCTAAGACTTATTATTTCTAAATCTTTATAATTGCTCATAAATTAACGGGAAGTGTTCCATACACTTTCTAAGAGAACTATGCCGTATGAATCTAGCACTGTACTAACAAAATTAAGTATGGTTTTCTTTCACACTAAATCCATCCATCGAACACACACATACATGCACTAACACAAATCAATCTCTTTTTTCAAGAAATGGATATACACAGACATACACACACTCCAAATTGATTCTTACTTTGAGAGATACTGGAATATCCCCAGCCCTATTTATTTATTTATTTATTTAAGGAAAGGTCTCCTTAAGATCCCAAGGCTGACCCGGAACTTGTAATCCTCCTGCCTCAGCCTTCCAAGTAGCTGGGACTACAGGTGTATGTCATCATACCTGTCTGAGGTACTGGTACACTTATGACAAAATTATAAAGTAATTTTTCTGTATAAGCAAAGCACAGATTTGGATCAAAATATCTCAGCAAGTTTTAAAAATCTACTTTTCTAATAACTTAATATTTATTTATTTATCTCTAATTTTTTATTTTTGTAAACATAGAAAAGTTTAAAAATTTACTTATATCTTCACACTACTGCCATAGGGATTTCATCTTTTAGATGAGAGAATTCTTGAACACAGTCAAATATAGTCCTTTCTACATAGCTGCTTTACTTTTGGTAATTCAAATAGCTAGAATAAATGTACGCAATTTTATTTAAGGGGTGTTTGCCTGGAGCTTGTTGAACTCCTTGGAATGATATGTTTGTATTTTTCAATAAATTTGCAAAAGTTCTAGCCATTATTTCCTCAAAGTATTTTTCTATTCCTCCCACAATCACTTCACTCAATTTGTGACACACATGCAATTTAAGTAGGAAATAAACTCTTGTTTTAGCAAAAATTAAGAAAGATCCTGGGTTATTTACTATCACAGTGCAACTTCTAACCAGAACCATGTACTTTCTGACTCGCAGCAGCTCAGGTAGATAAGGAACTACTTTTCTCCTCTGGTAGAGAAGGCTACTGTCTCTTTGAACTTAATCTGGACTCTAGAGGATGGCCACCTCCAGCAACTTAATTAAAAATGAGAACTTTCTCTTGACTCTTCTGTAAGTCAGTCTACATTCATTATGTGATTTACTTCTGGAGGATTCACTAGTTAGCTCTCTTGCTATTCTATACAGTCCATCTTTAATCTTCAGGGCTAGGTTGAGTTTTCTTAAAATTTACTGCTATTCTTACTCTTAGTCCAAATAACTATATGCAGAATCAAAGAAACAGGCAGACACCAAGCTTTTTAACTTACACTGCCTTTGGTTTTTAAATTACATCTAAGCAGTAATGATTTAAAAAGTTCACATTACTTTCCTCTCCCCCTACAAAATTTATTCTAAAGACCCTTTAGAAGATTGAATATCATACATAAGTATTCGGAGACTGTAAGGAAACCACCACATAGTTTGGCTCTGGAATTGTTTGCCAACTCTTACTTCTTCACATAAAGGGGAATGGAATTAAGAAAATAAAATGTTGGGCTTTTCAATCTACTATGGGGAACCATCAACATAATAATCATATTTTGTTCTTTCCTTTAAATAGTGGGGATAATCAGAAACTCTTTTAGAGAAGATTTTAGAATCAATAAAGTGAGCGATACTTATTTAACAAAAAAATTCTTTGTTCTATATGTAAATGTCTGGTAATTTATATAATTTGCATAAAACTAAAAATGTAAAATAAAATATTTCACTTTTACTGACCACATTCCTAATTACTAATATGACCTTTGGAAATATATCTAAATACTGCCGTACCTAGGATTGGAACAAGGTACTCTTTGAGTGTTCACATTGTCACATAAGGGTTCTCCTCCGTGGTAGATACCCGTTCGAACATAGATCTAAAAAAAACACAAACATGTGTATACAAAAATGTACATTCATACAAATATACACATACTTAGACAGAACCAAGTATCAGACAATAAAATAATATGAACAAGAGAAACAATAAAAATTTTTATTGATGCAACGTTCCCTTTCTTTACATATTTAATAAATTAATAGATTAATACTGAAAAGATTCCTCACCAAAATTTGCTACTGCCTTCATCCATTAATGATGACAGGACATTAGGTTACTAAAACATTAATACAGGCCTACAATTCCTTCAAGCTAGGCATTTAATGCAACTTTTCATATCTTTAGAAAGATAAATTGAGTTGGGTGTGGTGCTACATGCCTTTAATCTCAGCTCTAGGAAGGCTGAGGCAGGAGGACTTCTGTGAGTTGGAGGTCAGCCTGGGGTACCCAATCAGTTCAAGGGCAGGCTGAACTACTGACTAAGACTGTCTCAAAAAACTAAAGTGAAGCCACATGTGGTGTGCACACCTGTAATCTTAGCACTTGGTAGGCTGAAGCAGGATTGCTGCAAGTTGAGGCCTGCCTGGGCTATATAGTGAGTTCAAAAGGCAGTATACACTACATAGTGAGACCCTGTCTCAAAAAAACCCAAAGTGGATAAGGGAATGAAAATAAGAATTAAGATGTGTTATATACATGTACCAACTCCCCATGAGAAATGTAATCACTATGCATAGCAAACATGTACCAATAAAAATAAATATTATAAAAAGTTACAAATGAAGAAATAAGGAAAGGCTACAGAAAAAAAGCGAAATTGGTATACTATATATACTAGGTATGACTTAAAGCCCTTAGCAGCTGGAATAATTCCCCACTAAAGACATTAATATTTCTGTAATAAGATGCATGAATATTTACACTAAGTGGAATTAATAAAGACTATCAAGACTCACTTTGGATCAGACCAGGTTTTTTTGTCTAATGAATTCTATAACATTTTTAGTTTTAAAAACTTGTAATTGTGGAAACTACAATTACAAAGAGCTATGTACAAGCTAAGCTAGATGGAAAAAAATAGAATTCATTACATATTTTAATATTTTGAGACTTGATTTTTTCTAGTCATCTGAAAACATACAGGTCAACAGATTATTATACAGTTTAATAAAAAGGTTTATATACAGTGATTTCTAAAAAACAATAAGCAGCAACATTTGGTCTTACCTTATCAATGTCTCGAATATTTACATTTACATAAGTTGCACAAAGAATTTTTATTCTGAGTGCACTATTAATAACCCAAAGGGATTTTGTAGATGTTTCTCCATTCATATATGGTGTAGCTGTAGAGATACGTCTGGAATAGGATGGCATTGTAAAACAGTCCATTGGCAGTTGAGAGTAAAGGCTTTCTTTAGCCATCAGCATCAAATTGGGCATCCTCCCAAGCATTATACAGCTTCTTATATACTATAAGAGATTAAGGAGGAAGGGAAAAAGCCATTTCCCGTAAAACTTTTCATTTTAAAAGTAATATATAAAAGTACTATGAGAATGCACAAATTAATCTGTGAAGATGATACAGAAGTCAAACATTATAGACCGTATTTCTTAGCAATTATTTATAACATTTAAAAATAGTAAAATCTAGCCAGGTGTGGTGGTGCACGCCAGTAATCCCAGCACTCGGGAGGCTGAGGGAGGAGGACCACTGTGAGTTCAAGACCAGCGTGGGCTACATAGTGTGTTCCAGGTCAGTCTCAACTACATGGTGAGACCCTGTCTCAAACAAACAAACAAACGAACAAATAAAATAAAAATAGTAAAATTTAAAACTGAGGTGATAGCACAGATCATCCAAGCACCTCTGACTATAATACACACACACACACACAAACACACATGCATGCACGCACACAAATATCAGCTTTGGACAGTAAATTTCCATTAACTGCAAAACAAAAAGATAAAGATACTTCTTGTAAAACACAAGCAGTGTTATTTAGTGAGCCTGTCAATTTAGTAAAATCATACCACTGGCCCACTTGCTCTTCTCTCTAAACATTTACTTAGAAATTTTTTTTTTTTTAAATCAGAGGAGACTCATAGATTTATGAAAATATTTTTAAAATATTAAATTACATTGAGCTGAACTTTAAAATGTTAGAATAGAGATTTTAAAAAATATAAATGCTAGTGTATTCACATAATAATAGCCCATGGTTTCTTTTATGAGCCCTACTGGACAATAAACAACATGAAGGCCAAGCCCATGTTTTGTACTGGCACTGTATTCAATACTTGTGATATACCTGCTTTTGCTGCTTCTTGTAGGTATTTAATGAATAGAAAAAGATAACAGGGAAGTATTAACAGTCCATCTTAACAGAAGATCATGGATTTTTTGAAATGGTTATTTTAAATCTATTCTTATGTCATTGTTTGGGAGAAGATAAAAAGTATGAAGTACTACATATTTTGAGGTTGCCAACATTTTCAATCTCTCAAATTACATAATTATGGTATAGTAAACCTGTAAATGTTATTTGCCTATATTGATTATTTAATTTTCAAAAAGTATATCTAAAAATAGTTATCAGGCCCTATGCAATTAGTTTTAAATTTTGAAATTAATATTCTTGTTACTCACCTTATACTGACTCAGGGGATATTTTTCTAGGAAGTATTCATCACATCCACATACTTTTAAAATATACTTGCCCTGATATTCTAAAACACAGAGTTTTAGTTGTTCAGAGGATAGCAACATACTTCGAGTTTTTTTCCTGATTGCTTCAGCAATTACTTGTTCTGGCACACAGTCATGGTTGATTTTCAAAGTATACTTCTGCTTGTCATTATTTGGAGAAACTATTACCCAAATCACCACAATTATTTGTCCTGTAATAGGAAAACATAGATGCAATCACCATGTCTATTTCATTTTTTGAGACAAACTTCAAGAAGTATGCACTATACATTATTCTAATCACAATTAAAAATGATTTCTAATCAATCTAGTTAAATATAGGTAAATATCTGGTGGAAACTGAAAAATTTCATATATGATATATATGTAGTGATATAGTTGCAGGACCATGCTCAAGTTCTCCTGTTTTAATGGCAAGCACACAAAACTGGGCTTAGTGGGTCACAAGCACCTGAGACTAAGCTAGTTTCCTTTCTAAACAGCAGGACATATTTCATGGATGCAACCCCTGTGAAGAATGGCTCAAGGTGGTTGCAAAGGTTCAACAGTGCCTAATGTAGAAAACTATGAGAAGTAAAGAAAGAACTGATGAAGACTAAATGATGCTCAATCAAAATGAGGGAAAAGCTGGAAATGAAAGATCAAGAGGAAAGACGAACTAGAGTTCCAATTTCCTGGTATTAAGATTAATTAAGCCAGGAGACCATTGCCATACTCCCAAAAATGTGAAAATGAGAATATTAAAGCTAGGTGAACTATTCACAGTCCAACTTTCCATACATGTGGGCAAAATTTCATAAAAATGGAGAAAAGTGAAAATAATAATCCCACTTTAAAACGTTTACTACAGTAGAATTTCAAAAGATTATTGTTATACTGCATTGAACTACTTTGAATATTATGTGTGTAACAATGTATGCAACAGATATGATGTCTTAATATTGTTCTAGCAGAATTTTATACTGTGGTGGTGCACTCCTGTAATCCCAGTACTCAGGAGGCTGAGGCAGGAGGATCGCTATGAGTTCAAGACCAGCCCGGGCTACACAGTTAGTTCCAGGTCAGTCTCAACTACATAGTGAGATCTTGTCTCACAAAACAAAAAACAAACAAAAAAAATTTATAGTGAATACCATGTGAGAGTCAACCTATTCTAAAATTTCAAATTACAGGGCTGGGGATTTAGCTCAGTGGTTCTGCTGCCTGCCTCTCAAGTGCAAGGTCCCGAGATCCATCCCTGGTACCAAAAAACAAACAGACAAAAAAAAACCCCTTCAAATTATGAGTATTTACTTAATATATCATGTACTTCCAAACAATATAATTTATCCATTTGCATGTAATCCTAAAAATCAGTACATTAAATGTTCAGTGTGTCTATATGACTATGATCAGACTTGTATTTAATATTAAGAAATTTTTTCTTTGTATATATAGGAACATATAAAGCTTTCCCAAAATTTCACAGAATGTTTCTACTTATACTTGCTTTTATTTATAAAAAGATAGCAGCTCTGACTCCTAGTATCCTTAACAAGAGTGAATTTCAAACTCAAAATTCTTCAGTTTATTGGGATAAAAATTCAAGGGACTGGTACCATATACACAAAATTCATTTAATTAGTATATATTGTATACAAGTTGTATACTGAGCACTCAACTAACTCTTGTCAGTATAAGCAACCTCTGCCTTCAAAAAGCTTGTATCCATCTAGGGAAAAAAAAGACTGTAAAAATATAAACAGAAATACAGAAAATTTCACTATAGTAACAATTACAGTAGACCAACAACTTTCTTACCTTTATCTAATTTATTGTATATGTGCTTTGGCAGTTCTGGTGAAGATTCTACATTTGGAGGATAGACATACATTGCTCTACTATGAGGTGAATTGAGATCCCTAAGATCCACAGCTTCTTTACAAACATTCAGAATATTTCTTCGGAAGTCCTGTACTTCTGGATCTTTAACCATATCAAATTCACAAACTGGCATGCCAATAACAAAACCTTAGGAACATTATATAAAGAATGCATTATTCTGTTATACAGACATATCAATATGTTTCTTATCAACAACGAATTGTACAGATATGGAAAGTCACTATAGAGTCAAGAAGTTTTCCTGGGTTAAAAAAAATATTTAATGAATAAATGTGGTAAAGTCCAAAATATCTCTCTCTTTCAATCATCAACACATTGTATTGATAGCCATATCAAAATTTTTACAGAATAATAAAACAAAACTGGGATATACTGAATCTAAGTCTGCCCACATATGGTGTTTCATAAAGTAAAGCTCACAGAATATCAAGGGATTAAAAATAGTTTCACACTCAATAGCCAAAGATACTTCAGATTTATAAAGATGTTTTATTAAGAAAGCTATTTGGGCTGGGGATTTAGCTCAGTGGCACCGTGCCTGCCTCGCAAGTACAAGGTCCTGAGTACAATCCCTGGTACCAAAAAAACAAAAACAAACAATAAACTAAGAAAGCTATTTAATATTACAATGTTATTGGTTCAAGCAAAAATATTTCAATAACGAGACAACAGTTAAGCTTCATAGTTATTTGTATTTTAGAATAGGATGACAATGACATTTAGTTAAAAATTACATCTTACCAATTTCTCGATTGAGGATCTTTTCTTCACGGTTGCCTACTGGTTCAATTACTTTTAAAAAGGGTTGAAAAAGCCGAAGGTCACAAAGTCGTCTTGTTTCATCAAAAAATTCTTCCCTTTCTGCTTCTTGGGTAACACTTACGAAAATGTAAGAAGATTCATCTTGAAGAAGTTGATGCAGAGGGTATTTTCTTGCTTCCTTAAATAGTTCATGCTTTATGGTTATTAATGTAGCCTCACGGAGGCATTCTAAAGTCACGATCATTCCATTTGGTAGTAAACATTCTACTAGGATTCTTGGGGGCATCAAGTGGATGCCCCACAGTTCACCTGATGATGGTCGTGGAGGCATTGTTCTGATCCTTTACAAGTCTTCCATATAAAACTACTTTAAGTAACTAAATTTATAGCTGTTCCAAAGCAGTAACCTAAATGAAAGAAGGAAAACATCCTTTAGAAGTGCAAACAAACTATAAAGAATATATTTATGTCGATGCTAAATGTAAAAGTTCATTTCCCACAGTGTGAATAGGATAATGATTAATCTTAAATATTTTAATCAGGACTACTGTTTTCAGTATAAAGAACTGATTTCAGCACAGATTATGAAAATCACTTGTATTTAATTAAATTTAATAAAGTCATTTAAAAAAACATTATATTTGAGTAAATTTTTCTAAGCCAGAGCTCAACAAAACAGACCTGAGGCTATGAGAAGAATGAGAAGTTGTAATTCAAACCCAAATTTCTATCACCTATCACCTTTATCATTCTCTGGTATTTTATGCGCCAACAGATTTAGGGCCAGAAAGGTTCTTTTAGGTCACAGGTCCATTACTCAGTTTAGAGCTAATAAAATCTAGAAAAGTAAAATCTTTTTCTTATTTATCCTCAACTTGTAGTAATAAGATATCACAAGACCAACCTGCCCTCTCTCCCTCCCTTCTTACCTATATTAAGTATACAGAATAATGGACTTCATTTTGGCATATCTGTACATGCATATAACACACTTTGATCATTTCTGCTCCATGTTGCCTGCCCCTGTCCTCTTAATGCTTTCTTCTACTTTTGTGTTGCCATTTCCCCCAGATTCCAAATGAATGCAAACTTGCAGTATTTAAGGCCATTCTGTTTTAAAAGTATAATTTAGGTATATATTCACAATAATATATATCTAGTGTGTCAATACATTTCCTTGAAGCATGACGACGAATCTTCAGAAATGCACATCCCTTATCAATTAATCCAGTCCTAATATTTTTAATTGAAATGAAATGTTCTACACACAAATGTGACCCGTAACTCTATGCCAGTACAATGCAACAACCACCTGTATTAAGAATTTTTTAAAGATTTTTAAAAATTAAGTGCTATTATCACTTGAAGTCCCCTAACTTTTTACACTTTAATAATCTTGGGATTTTTTAAAGACACTATTAAAACCCACAAAACCAAGTTCTACTTCTTGCTATTTATGTTTATATTTTATTTTATTCAGTAAGTTAAGCTGTGAGGGTGCCACCAAAAAAAAAAAAAAAAAAAAAAAAAAAAATTTTTTGAAAAAAAAAAAAAAAAAAAAAAAAAAAAAAAAAAAAGGGAAAGTGAGATAGACCGAAAGATTGAAATACAAAACCACATTAAGCTAGAGAAATGAACCAAAAAAGGCCTAGATAACCTATTGTACTTGAATACTCTACCAGGTATTGTGGACAACAGCTATGTACTATACTGTTTACTCACCAAAAGAAGACTGGTGCTGTCCCTAAGACCAGGCTAGGAGCTAGGTATACAATGAAGAATAAAACATGGCCCTTGCCCTTACAAGTTAAGTCCAGAGTGCGAAGAACTGCTTACACTGTGGGGGTGAGGGACAATTAAATTTACAGTTACAAAAATGGTATGAATGCTATCAAGGAGGAGGGCCACATTCTATAAAAATACAGTGTGGTCATATAACTCCATGGAGGTTGGGGTTGGAAGGTATCCTCAACCAAATCCTTTACAGATAAGCAGGATTTGAACAAAGAGTGAGGAGCATGGCACACTTGAATCCAGAAACCTGCCATTCCTGACTCTCCTATCTCACAGCTACCTATGCTGAACTGTCAATAAATTAACCCTTTAGTTTGTTTCCACTCCTTTATTACTACTTTTGTTATCCTGGTCAGAACCACTGCAAAGGCCTAAATGGTCTCTTTGCATTACTGTTTGCCCCTATAATCCGTTTTCCACCTCATAGCTAGTGTGACCTAGAGAGAGCAATAGTGCTGAATTTGATCAGGTGCTTCTGCTGTACAATTCTCAGCTGCAAACAACTACAGTACTTCAAAGTTATTTCACAAGCTTAAATATAACATGATTTCTCTATTAGAAAGCCAAAAATATAAATAAATTGAAGATATAAAAGATAGATAATAGGAAACACAGAGATAATCTTTTGCAAAAGGTAAAGGGACGAAGAGATGAAGGGAAGGAGCTGAAAAAAATTAAGATGTGTTATATATATGTACCAACTCCCCATGATGAATATAATAATGTACCACAAACACATCTAATTTTTAAAACTTTTAAAATTTATATGAAAGAGCGGAATTGTAGCAATTGAAATGTTCAGCCTCACTTCTGGAAACAAATTAACTGAAGGACAGTCAAGAATATAAAAAATTATTTTTTGATAGTTGAAAATATTCTGCAAACTTATGGAAGAGATCTACTGAAGTTACAGGACTTAAAATTATATTTCCTGTACAAAAAAAAAATTGACTAGTGAAAATACCAGATAGATAACCCTGTGTGCATAGAGAAGGGACTTAAACTGAATTTTTAAAAACATAAAAAATCTGAAGAATGCAAGAGAGAACACCAAATGACTACTTCTTAAAAAAATGATTATCTTCCTGGATAAAACAGTTCAAATAAAAACAAAACCAAAACCATAAGCCATGCCAAAACAGCAGCTGTATTTATAGTTTTCTTTGTTGAATGGTGGTAAGTTTATTTTATAAAATCACTGGGGCAGCTATTTTATTTAATAACCCACAGAGTCTCACGTGTAGCCTAAGAATTAGTAAGAGGAAAAAAAAAAGGAATTAATAAGAGAGAAGTCTAGTAGACAAACTATTGATTTTATTCCTTATTCTACTGTAGCATATTTATGGGTGACTAATGTAATTATTAAATATTTAAGAACATCCTTTTCATAAAGAGAATAAATGTGATCCTAGCCATAAAACACTGTAGGTTCTGGAAGGCAGGTACTATACAGAAGACAAGATACTAACTCTCTTACTTGTCTAATGGTTATTTTTTTTCTCATGCCAGACCTCAGTCCATATAAACCATTATCCCAGAGCTCACATACAGAGGTGCAGAAAAGGCAAGTGGAGCTAACATTTTACTATCTGGCATGCCCCATGCATTTAGGCAGGCAATGACCCTTTCATGTGTAGGAATTATTATTTTGCATATGAGAAAAGCAAAGGTCAGAGAAGTGAAGTTACTTGCCACAAGAAAATGTATTTTGAACCCTGGCCTAGATGATTTTAAGCATATATTATAATCATAATGCTATCTGATCTACAGTTATGGTCAGGCAATATTCTGTAGTGGTTGGTATCAGCGAAGTGGGGTCCTTGCTGTGATTACCCCTGACCATCTGCTTGTGGTAGGAGAATTGGGCTAAAAAAGTAGAACTGGAATGCCTCAAGTAGTACTTGATGGGAAATTCTGGTCAGAGCTCAGATGACCAGAAGGCTAATAGAAAAGCTGCCAGTAAAGACCAAGTTTGGGATTTCTTCTGGGAAGAAGGACTGCAGTGACTGTTGGACTCCAGACGATGTGTGTTATGGCTTGGCAAAAGGTTTGTCTGCATTTTGCTCCTGTCCAGAGACTTTGCCTGAGACTGAGATTAAGGGTAGCGGGCTATTTAATCTTGCAGAAGAATTTTAAGGCAGTGTAATGTTGAGATGGTATCGTGGCAACAGTTGGGTGCTTTTAGCCAGATTTATGTTGAGAATCAAGGGCAAAGACCCCAGGGCCTGGGATTTAGCTCAGTGGTTCTGCGGCCTCTCTCACAAGAACAAGGACCCAAGTTCGATCCCTGGTACCAAAAAAAAAAAAAAAAAGAGAGAGAGCAAAGACCTCAGCAGAATGATTTAAAAAATTTTGAGTTTTGCCAGAAAGGAAGCACCAGCAAAAGCATGGACTGAAAAGACAGAGCAGAAGAGATCTTGATGGTTGAGAAGGAATAGGAGCAAAAAGATGGCTTGAGGGAATCATAGGAAGAAGCAGAACTCCACCCTTGTCAGCCTCAGACTTGCAAAAGTGAAAGAGTGCTTTGAGAAGAGAGCCCCAGAGCGCCATGTTCCACAATGGAAATAGCCTAAGGAAAATCAGGCAGTGTGCCCCTGTGAGGGTCGTGTGTATGAGGCAGTCAGTGTGAAGCCAAAGGTGCAGTGGAGACCCCAGAAGTTTGGAGAAGCCAGCAACGTGGATTATATGAGGAAAACAGAGAGGAGGGAGCAGAGCCATCCCAAGAGAGAAGCATGGGAGCTACAACCACCAGAAGTGCCATAGGGGTGACAATCCCTTTGGGGTTTACAATTTGCCACAGATTGCTGAGGATGCTTAAAGTGGAACTTGGGATTTAATGTTTGACCTGCTGGATTTTGGCCTTGCTTTATTCCCATTCCTTGCTATCCCCCTATCTGTAACTTTTGAAATAGAAATGTCTACCTTGTACCACTGAATGTTGAAAGTGTTTGACTTTCTTTTCTTTTGTACAGGGGCTTGCAGCTAAGAGTTTGCCGTAAATCTCAGAGGAGACTTGGGACTTGGACTTTTCAGTAGTGCTGAAATTGTTAGGACTTTGGCAACTCTTAGAGATGGACTAAGTGCTTTTTGCATAAAGGAATAGGGCGGGGTAAGGGCAGGATTTTATGCCTTGTATTTAGATGTACCCCCAAAACCTCACATGGTCACAGGTGGAGCTTTTTCAGATGTGGCTGGAGCTGGAGTATGTGACTCTGGAATTGATTCATGATGCAATGCTAGGCTCAAGGGCACTAGGTAAGTGTTACGGGCCCCAAGTACTCCGAGTAAGATAAAAAGTGGCAGAAAGACACTGTTAAGGTTCCTTGTTGCTTTTGCTACTTTCTGTCCACCATGAACTGATTCTCCTCTACTATACCACCCTTCTGTGCAGCCAGCTAATTATGGAATAAAACTTCTACAAACTGTGAACTAAATAAACCTTTCCCCTTTAAAAAAAATTCTGTAGTGGTATATAAGAAAATAGTCTATAAAATTTCACTAGATTCAAATTCCAGCTACCTTAGTTAATAGTTGTGTGACACTGGGTAGTTTAGTTTATCCACTAAACCTCATATTTTCCCCAATTGATAAAGTGGCATAATAAGTCATCTAC